AGATTTAAAAAAATTTTTTATTTATTTTTGAGAGAGAGAGCCAGCATGAGCAGGGGAGAGTCAGAGAGAGAGGGAGTCACAGACTCTGAAACAGGCTCCAGGCTCTGAGCTGGCAGTCAGCACAGAGCCCAACGCGGGGCTCGAACCCACAAACCGTGAGATCATGACCTGAGCCGAAGTCGGACACTTAACTGACTGAGCCACCCAGGCGTCCCCTGCAAGGATTCTAAATCTGCATCCCAGCTCTGACCTTCCTCTTGTTGTTGTTGTTGTTGTTGTTGTTGTTGTTGTTTTTCCAGTCCTAGTCAGTTGCTATGAGGACATACATTTAAACATGTTGCTATCTGTTTGAAAGTTAACTTGTTAAACAAATACGCATCTGGGGTGCCTGGCTGGCTCAGTCAGTAGAGCATGCGACCCTTGATCTTGGGGTCATGAGTTCCAGACCCAAGTTGGGTGTAGAGCTCCCTAAAAAACAATAAATAGGGGCACTGGGTGGCTCGGTCAGTTAAGCCTCCAGCTTCGGCTCAGGTCATGATCTCACGGTTTGTGGGTTCAAGCCCTGCGTTGGGCTCTGTGCTGGCAGCCAGCTCGGAGCCTGGAGCCTGTTTCGGATTCTGTGTCTCCCTCTCACTCTGACCCTCCCCTGCTCACACTGTCTCTCTCTCTCAGAAATAAATAATAATAAAAAAATAAATGAAAATAAAAAACAATAAATAAATAATTTAATTAATAAATAAAATCTTTAACATGCTGATGCCTCCTCTCAACGTCCTCATTTCTATCATCTGTCCACGTACCGTCTTCTGACTCTCAGGCTGATAATCTTGAAGTTGTCTGGTAAAGAAATATTATCAGGTCTTCCTCCAGGATGTTGAACCTTCGTATCCACAATCCTCATTCGCAACTCACTTCAGGATTAAACAGTCTCCTAATCTCTAACTCTTCCACTTTAGGTATCTAAGACAGGGGTCAGCAAACTGCAGCCCATACAGAGGCCATTCCTGATCTACCATCTGTTTTTGTATGGCCCCTGAGCTAAGAAGGGCTTTTATATTTTTTAATGAAAAACATATTTTATGACATTTCTGTGTCCATAAATCTTTATTGGAACACAGTCATGTTCATTGTTTATGTATTGCTTGTGGCTGCTTTGTGCTACCGTGGTAGAGTTGAGTAGTTACGACGTCAACCACGTGACTCGCAAAGCCAATATTACTTACTATCTGGTCCTTTACAGAAAAAGGTTTGCTGATCCTTACTCTAAGAATTTCCTTAGCTTGGTTTTCAAAATCCTGGATCAGTGTTCCGTACCTTTCTACATAAGCCCCTTTGCTCTGGCCTCGCACATGCACCCTGTTAATTCCTGTAACGTTTGCTTTTTCTCTCATCTCCCATGGTCTTCTCACCACCCTCCTGTTCATTCTATACATTGCCCAGTTGGAGGGTTTTCCTCATGATTTCATTCTGTTCATCTTTCCATTATTTTGAACTATTTAAGAACTTTTGTCTGAACCGTATTTTTAGGCACTTGTATATATTTTGCTTTGTCCTTTGAACATTTAATTCTCACGTATGCTGTAATCTCCTGCATGTAGGGACTTCGTCTTCCCTTCATTTGAGTACTTAGAGGTGGCAGTCCATTTTGGTGACTCATCCTTCAGCATGGCCTTGCATACAGAGAGTTTTTAGAAACAACATTCTTTTTTCCCAATGTATTCTTTTTCTCTAATGGGGATATATGTAGCTAATGAATTAGTGTTTGCTTTGCTTTTAATCCAACTTATCCAACATCTAAGTTATCTGGGTAATAGTATACTATTTACCCAGTAGTAAATAATATAGTGTGAAAGATCCCTTTATTACCTGCTGACTCTCGTTTCTTTCCTTGTCGTTTTTTTTAAAAAGTTTTATTTATTTATTTTGAGAGAGATAGAGACCACAAGTAGGGGAGGGGCAGAGAGAGAAGGAGAGACAGAACCCCAAGCAGGCTCTGCGCCATCAGCACAGAGCCCGACATGGGCTCGAACTCTCAAACCATGAGATCATGACCTGAGCTGAGATCAAGAGTCACGTACTTAACTGACTGAGCCATCCAGGTGCCTCTCTTTCCTTGTCCTTTCATTTCGCTGTCTTAGAGCTTAAATGGATAGAGGATCCACAGAAATGAAGTCAGCAGGAATGTCTTAGAAACCAAAAAAGAGGTACAGTAAAACCTTGGTTTATGAGCATAATTCGTTCCAGAAGCATGCTTATAATCCAAAGCACTTCTATATCAAAGCAGATTTCAAGAACCATTGGATCAGTTGTGATCATGTGACATTCAGTGTCACATACTCCTTGTGCTGCAAGACATCACTCCTTTATCAAGTTAAAATGTATTAAAGCTGTTTGCTTGTCTTCTGGAACGCTCACAGAACAAGTGACTCGCGATCCAAGGTTTAACTGTATTTGAATGCCCATTGTGCTGCACTGCCCTGTACCAGGTGTATATAGACAGGTTAATTAAAAAAAATACCTGTTTGTTGCTCTGAATGTGACATTCTGAAGTGGACATAGGTAATACACAAAGTAGAAAAGCAGAAAGAAATTGAGGAACAAAATTATACAGAGGGTAGAATCATGATTGTTTTTATGTCAACACAGATATGAAAATAATATTTATCATTAAAAGCTGGCAGAGTTGAATATCATCCCTAGTCTAAAGCCAGCTCATGAGAGTAAGTAAATTGCAAATACTCTGTTTTCTTAATTACCTTTCTAATGTACATCATAGAAGGCTTAGTATGTATACATGCATCTTGGTAGACTTGAATTTATTGTTTCTTAGAAATTTGTTATTAAATGGGGGGGGGGGGGATGTGGGGGAAGAATCCTTCATGTTCCATTCCAAGCCACAGCATTTTTTTCGAGGTTGGAAAATCAGGACGGGGGTCTAGGATGGGAACACAAAATATTTCAGGAATAATCATAATACCATTCAGCTGTTATTTGTGGAGCACTGACCATAAGCCAGCACTCTGTAGGTGACTTACATACATTATGTATAATCATCACAAAAACACTCAAAGTAGGCAGAGATAAAAACACTGGGGCTCAGAAAAAGGAATAATTTGCCCAAGTTCACACAGCTGTTAAGTAGTGCAGCAGGATGAGAACCCCATATATATATGTATATATACGTATATATACATGTATATATATACACACATATATATGTACATACATATATATACTTTTTTTTTTTTTTACTTCCAGTTCTGTGTTTTTTTGGGAAGAAGACCTGGGAAAGACCATTCAAGGTGGAGGGAAGGGCTCAAAGCAGGCACAACAGTGGGGCAGGGGTAAAGGCCTCTCGCAAGAAAGAGTAAGTGTTCTGGGTAAGAACGTATTCATTGTCAATTTGGTACCAGAAGGGGTACCTACCCAGTATCCCAACCTGATGCATCTTAGTTTCTGATTTCATAAATACTGAACCCAGCTGGCCACTGTCTGTATATTATCTTTTACATAACTGTCTTTTTCTCACGATGGCCATGTTTCTGGTTAAACTCCTTGCATGATGTTGGTTAAAGACCGTGCAAGAACAGTGAAGGCCCTTATTTAGGAAGAGAAAGAATATATAAATGACGTATCCGTAAGTTGACATAGGAATTGCTTAGTGCTTTCCTCTAACCTTTAGTTTCAGATTTAGCTGTGCCTTCCGGTGACTCTAATGACAGAGAAGCTGCAAATGGATTTGAGTTCAGTTCTTACAAGAAGTGAATACCTGGCACGGAAAACGTTTTTTTCAATATAAAAGGTGGAAAGAGCAAATTAAAGACTATTCTTTAATAACCAAATGTAATTAAAATGCATTGTCAGATTTACGTTTTAGTACCTTAGAGGCGTTGATATTACCTGTTCCTAAGATGAGATTGCTGATGCAGAAAAAGGCCCCAATATCTCAATATATAGAAAATTTTCTTAACTGCCTCTTCTTTTTTTAATTGTGGTGTTATGATATAATTTAAAGGGTAAGATGAAAATGTATCTCTTGTGGAAATTATAAACATACTCAGGATTTTGTCACTTAGGGAGCTTCAGGCAGATGGATTCTTTTTTCCATAACCAAGTATTTAGAAAAAACAATTTGAAGTTCCTTGGAGTGTTCTTGGTGGTACAATCCAACCCTCCCACACCTTTTCTTCTTTTTCATCTCTAGTGGCTTAGTTGCTTAACTAGGGTGATTCAAAAGTAAGGCAGTTTGGTTTATCATTGGTATTCTGATTTCTTCTTTAATGCGGCTGGTCATGTGGGCAAAGTGGCAGCACTTAGCTATGTAGACTGCCTGTTGAGCTTTGCTGCTCCCTCAAGGAGCTTGAGAAGTGGAGATGAGGGACCCAGGAGGTGATTTCTCTGTGCTACCAGCTGTAGGATTCAGAACAGCTGGATTCCTTTTCAGGGGCTGGAGACCCAGATGCACAAGTGTGAGAGCAAGGGGGCTGGCTGTGCAGCCCCGGACACCACAGCTTAATTCTCCCATCCAGCTTTTCCCTTCCTTTCCCTGCCCCATCCCCAAAGCATCAGGGATATAATAGTGTGAGGTTGGTGACATGTTGAGGGCTGCAGTGATCGGCATATTCCTTATTTAGGAGTCTTACTCTGAATGCGTCTGTAAGAAAATTATAGAGAGGGTAGAATCATGATTCTTTATGTCAACAAAAAATGGTCTCAGTAAAAAAAAAATAAATGGTAGATTGAAAGTAGCAAGAACTGAATTCTGCTGTCTCCCTGTGACCTTGAAAAAGATATATAACCTCTCTGCATGTCTCTTCTGTGGACCTGGGGTAATATGTGTTTCCAGAAGCTGCTGTGTGGATGAGATAACCTGCAAGGAGTGTTCTGAACTCCTTAAGGAATGATGTCAAGGAGACAAAATGCTATGACTGTTATTAGGGCAAAGATAGTGAGGAGAAGACAGATCTGCGTTTTCTTCCTTAATCTTCTAATCTTTCCAGATGCTTGTGGGTCCTTTTGAGTCCCGGCTCTGTTCCTTAGGTTGGAGTGGTGGCGGGCTCCATGCTTGGTTGCAGGAAGAATGCCTTTTACCCTGTGAAACTGTGTTCATCAGGAAGGCCTGTGTAGGCACCACACTTTCAGACACGGGTGAGTGGGACACCCAGAGAGTTGTGCTAGGAGAGCACAGCATCTGCAGGTAGAAGAAGGCATCTCTCCTCCACAGGCCAAGGACAGGTAGCCATGGACTGTGTGCTCCCTCACGGCTTGCCTACCCCTCCTCCACAGAACCCACCGCCTGGTGCCCAGGCTCCTCTGGTCACCCTCCATGACAAAGGAAAGTGAATACAAAGAGGCCAGAGCTTCCTACCGACTGGAGTTCAGTGACTGGGGACACCTTTTGGAGCTGCCCGGCAGTGTGAGCGAAGTTGTTCCCTCCGCGGTCAGCCATGTCCTTCAGTGCCACCATTCTCTTCTCCCCTCCCGGTGGCAGCGAAGCCAGATGCTGCTGCTGCGCCTGTAAGAGCGAGACTAGTGGGGGCAGCACAGGCTCTCAGGGCGGGAACCCTCCTCCCAGTACCCCCATCACAGTGACCGGACATGGCCTGGCGGTTCAGAGTTCAGAGCAGCTCCTGCACATTATCTACCAGCGCGTGGAGAAGGCAGTGGGCCTGGCTGAGGCTGCTCTGGGGCTCGCGAGGGCCAACAACGAATTGCTAAAATGTCTCCAGGAAGAGGTGGGTGAGCTGAGGCAGGGGAAAGCCTCTGCCCCTGAGGAAGCTGGGGACAGCCGGGCCCAGGGCTCCCCACCCGAGGAGCCTGGGCCTCTCAAAGAGAGCCCCGGGGAAGCCTGCAAGGCCGTGTCTGCCGCCGAGGAGGAGTGCGACAGCGTGGGCAGCGGCATGCAGGTGGTGATTGAGGAGCTGTGGCAGGTGGGAGCAGCATCAGCTGTGGGTCCTGGGCCTTTGGGCTTCCCGGCCACCCAGAGAGACGCGCGGCTCCCGGGATGCGCCCTGGTTGCCAGCGAGGCGGCCCCGATGCTCAACCCCGTGAGTATGGCTGCAGAGCAGGACGCCCCTGAGTGCTTTTCCTGGCCTTTCTCTCTTCCTTCCCCCTCCCTCTAGTTTCTTTCCAGCCTTCTTTCTTTTGGTTTTACTTGTGCTAAAACAGACAGCACCAAGTCTCCTTTCCCCTCCCTCTAGTTTCTTTCCAGCCTTCTTTCTTTTGGTTTTACTTGTGCTAAAACAGACAGCACCAAGTCTCCTTTGCCGGCAGGGATAGTCGGCACCCGTCTGTTTTCTTCTGAACTGCAACCTCTTTGGCAGGAGGTCATTTCTGGTGTGCGTGGTGATGGCCGTGCCCTCCCCTCCCTCTCAGCAGCTCTGCATGCCACCTTCTCCTCCACAGCTGGCTCGGCTGCTCCAGGGGCTCTGCCTCTCCTGGCAAGAAGGCCTGCCGTGCACAGACGGCTCATTCATATTTTATCACGGGCCCTCTCCTTGCCAAGAGGAACTCAGTACAGAGAGAGATGGGAATGTGGAGGGGAGAGAGGCAGAGGTGGAGAGGAAGGGAGAGCTGGAGAGGAGAGGGACGGAGGGGGTCAGAGAGGGATGACAGGGAAGGAAGGAGAGATGGAGAGGACAAAGAACCCAAGACAGGGGTAGGGAGCGAAGGAGGCAGGTGGAAATGAAGGGTTGAAGAAGGAGAAAAAGTGAAACAAGAGCATAGAGGAAAGGTGAATCTAAGTGGAAAGAGAATTTATGCGCACAACAGAATGTGAGGGAAGGTGGGAGGGAGGCGGAGGGGAGGGGGTAACAGGAGGGCAACAAGCGGACAGTTGCAAGTTCCTAGGAAGAGAATGACACTTAGGGAGGACGAGGAGAGCAAGCACGCATATTTTGTGAGCAGGAAAAGACACAGAAGCACCTTGTGCTATGTCAGTTTCTTTACTGCTCAGGGCCATCTGAGCAGGAAAACCCTGGCTGAGCAGAGTAAAAACTGCAGAGCGTGGCACATGGAAGTATGAAAAGGAGACGGAGCAACTACAGGGATCATAGAGATGGGAAAGTAACAGATGTGTCGCCACTTGAGAGACAGTGGGAGGTCTGTCAGCCCCCCTCCCCCATGCTCCCGCCCTGCCCTCTCTTTCCTCCTCCCGCACGTGACAAGGCCCAGACACCCAGAAAAGAGAAAAGGAGCAGAACACACAGGGGAGATGGGAGGGAGGAAACTCCCAGCCCATCTGCTGGGTCTGAGAAATGAATTTAGAAGCCCCATGTCCCCATCCAGTGTCACGCTGCAGCTGGCCACTGCTCCCTGAAGGCCTAGCCATGAGGGTGGGTGGTGGCCACTGCCTCTTGTGCCCCTCTGCCCAGCCGGGACTCGAGGGGGGTTTGGGGCTGCGGGGAGGTGGGAGGAGGCAGGAGGTACCAGGTACCAGGCCAGGCGATGCCCTGAGCTGTGGCTCTGTCAGGCAGGGAAGGCTTCCAAGCCGACAGGACGGAATTAGATTTCACAGCGCAGAAAGCAGCTCACAGGTCTATAAATCTCAGCCTCCTCCCCCGCTTCTTTCTGTGTTTTTTTTCCCCCCACTTTCACTGTTTTGTTTTCTTGGCTGCAGAAATCCCCCCTCCTTGCTTCCCTCAGTCTCCTTCCTCCCTCCTTCCTTTCCCTGCCCTGTGTGTCCTTGAGTGAGGGCACAGCAGCAAGTAGGTGTCAGGGCAGTGACGGTCGGTCCTTCGGTCGTCGGTCGGATGCAGCCAGGGCGGGAAGAAGAGGAGGGCGCAGACAGGTCCTGCAAAGGGAACGGGCTGGGAGGTGGGGGACAGTTGGTGCCAGCCTCTCTAGAAATTTCCGACTTTATATCTGTCTTTGTCCCCATTTTCTCCTATCTCTCCCCTTTGTTATCATTTTATTTTCTTGTTTCTTCACTTGCTCGGTGTTCCTTTCTTGTCATCACTTCCTCCCCCGGTGCCTTTTAGACAGAATACTCACCTGGCTCCGGTTCTTATACCCAAGAGCAAATCATAGAGGATTCCTCACGAATAGAGCGTCAGAAACAAGCCTTGTCCTTGTAATCGGTCCTATGGTAATGATGCCACACGAGAGGCCCTGGGTAGCCCAGAAATATTTGCCAACCCTCCCACAGGAGTACTGGAGAGACAAGCTGTTGACCATTAAAGACCGTCCTGGATTTCCCGTGCTTTCCACTCTCTGTTCACTATCCCTGGCCAAAGAATGATGGGTGACCGGGTTCCCCTAAGCCTGGATGGCTAATAGGCTATTCTTTTTTATGTTCTTAGCTGGTGGATGATTATGTGGCCTCTGAGGGTGCAGTACAGCGGGTGCTGGTCCCTGCTTATGCCAAGCAGCTCTCACCAGCCACACAACTGGCTATCCAGCGGGCAACCTCAGAGACAGGGCCAGAAAATGGAACCAAGCTGCCACCGCCCCGCCCCGAGGACATGCTCAGTGCTGCAGCCGTGCTGGATGGTGCCTTGGAAGAGTCAGGCCCTGGGGGAACAGGGGAGCTGAGACACTCTCTAGGGTTTACTGCTTCCCCATGCAGGACCAGAGGGAGTGGGCAGAAGAACTCCAGGCGCAAGCGGGATCTGGTGCTCTCCGTGAGTGAGCTCAATTCTATAAATTTTTCTTCAGTCTGGAGAGATGAGAATGAAGTGTGGGTTAATTTTAAACTTCCCATATTGAATGAATGGTGTCCTGTATCATACTGGAGAGGGAGGGGCAAATCGGAGACAGACTGGTCCATAGCCCTAGGGACAAGCAGTCCTCCTGCTAATCATGGAATGTTTTTAAGGCTTTGCCAAATAGATTGAAATCTTCTGTTAAAGAGAAGGGAATTATATCACACCTCCTCCCAATGATCTAATAATCCTGGTGGGAAGATCTTTAAGGGATTGAACAGACTGACCACTGAAGGGTAGCACTGGCAACGGCCTGCCATTTACTAGTGTTCAGGGTAAGCAAGGCCCATTGGCAGAAAGGCCAAGGTATCCTGAGGTGGTCCCAAACCCCAAAGATGCGGAGGGCCACTAGACACTCAGCTCAGTTATGAAGGATTGGACAGTCTAGTGCAATCCTAAGAGCAGGGAAAGTACTGGGCTGAACCAGTTTTCTCAGAAACTTGGCATGGCCTGGAGCCTTAGGAACATCACTAAGCATCCTACAGTGCATAGGGCAGCCCCTGACAATTATTCCGCCTAAAATGTCTGTAGTTGCAAGGTTGAGAAGCCCTGTTCTAAGGTAACCATACTCCTTTGGATCAACTCTGTGCCCAAAAACATCTTTCTGATAACCACAGGGTGTTCCTTAGCTAGATCATGTTCATGTGGACTGTAAGGCGTTTCCTTTCTCTGGCTCATGGCTGATAGAGTAACCGGAGAGTTCTGATTAGGAGGGGAGCTCACCATTCACACCCACCCAAAGAAATCTCACAGGATAGCCCCTTTCCTTCTGTCACAGTCTTAGTAAAGGTTGAAGACAGTTACTAAGTGAAGACACTTAGTAAAGGTTGAAGATGGTTAACAGTGCACACCTCCTTCATCTGCATTACTTCTTTCTTCCTTTTCCCTTTTCTAAGGACTCCTGACTCTTACTCTCCCTTCCGTTTGATTTGTTTCTACACTGAGGGATTCTTTTCATCCCTGGGAAGGAAGACACCATTCATAATCCGAAACAACTGGTTTCTAACCTTCGTTTTATTTTTTTTCCTCTCGCTTACCATGAATAGGGTTTAGTTTTTCCATCATGAATCTCTTGCTGCCAGCGATAGAAATGGAGGCATATACCTAGAAATGCATTTCAAGGGATTTCCCAAGACTTCATAGTGTTTAAATCATGAATAAATGTATGATAATTCCAATTTGCATAAAATCAGGGTTTTCAACCACTTCCATTCCTCTTCTGCCTACTGCCTCCAGCGAGAGGTCTGGTGTTGAGGGTTGGCTCTCACCTGCCCTTTGGAGAACCCGGTGGAAGTGGGGACCTTGCAGGAGGACAGTTTGCTCACTTCTCATGCACTCTGTTCCCATACTTGAAAAGGCCCTCGAGGACCAGTCAGGGAATTTTGCTGCCCATCACAGTGGAAGGTTTCAAATGTGGTTTAAAGGAAGAGGACTAACTGCAGGCCTTCGGCCTTCCAGCTTTATCTCTGGGAAGGAATCAGGCATCTCTCCAGTCCACTCAGGCTGCTGTGGGTTGCTGCTACGGGTCCAAAAGGACCAAACCAGAACCACTGACTTCTTGGGATGCTGCAGATCCCAGCCACCCATTAGGGAATGTATTTATTTTTAGCTCACTCAGGAGGCAGGTGAGCCAGCTGCCTTTACAGTCTTAACACTTATTATTGTCTCAGAGTATCTTCCCTTTCCGCTTCAAGCCTGGTTTGATTTTATCAGCTGATCTCTTCCAAGCCACTTGAATTGGAAGGTGTGCAACTCCCCCTTTTTCCTTTTTTTTTTTTTTTTGCAACACTTTCAAATTCTTTCTGAAGCATTTGCCCACCTTTTGTGATTCCTTAAGTTGGGACTTCTAAGAGGTAAAATAACTATGTCAGATATGAAGCTAGTTTAATTACAGGCCTTTTTTATAGAGTGGAGACCCTAACCATAAAAAGTTGCCAGCACTTTCCTAAATTGATATGGCCAGTTAGTGAGTGATAGAAGTAGAAGGGTAAATGGGGGATTTCTTAATTGAAACTGAAGACTTGAAATCAGGATATGGGTCCATTGGTTTTGGGACTGGGAATTTCCACTGACCAAGGGAGCTTGAGATAAAAATATAATCAGAGACAGCAAAACTAAATTTAATAGAAAGAAACGTAAAATTCTGCATCAAAGCTAAAAAAACAAAGCAGTTGTAGAATGGTAGAGATAGGAATCCATGTGAAAAGTGGACTCAAGCGGACTGTCAGCTCACTAGGAATGAATCCTGTGACCCTGGGAATAGGGGTGGGGTTAATAAGAAAGGTAACACCATCTTGGGTTTCATTCCTAGAAATGTAGAGTTCCACTCAAGCAAGTAATGTGCTCCCTTTGGCCAGGTCCCAGCTGATGGATTAGATTCAGTTCCCAGTGCCACGTTGTCCAAGGGACACTGGCAAGCCAGAGAGCCTGATGGTTTCATGAGGAGTCTGTCTGGAAACTGTCACCAGGAATGGCTGAAGGACTTGGGGAGGTTTAGACCGAATAGGAGAAGACTCGGAGAGTACATGAGACCTGTCTTCAAAGATGTTAGGTGCTGTCATAGGCAAAACTGGTCAGATTTTGGAGTCCAAGGCAAAACTCTTCAACAATTAGAAATGTTCAACAGAAAAATAAGCTGGCTCAAAAAACTAGTGAGAACTCATTATGAAAGGCATGTAAGCAAAGCTGAGAGCCTGTTTGATGATGTGAAAGGGAGGTTGGTGATAGAGTCTCCAAGGTCTTTTGCATTTCACATTTCTGTTAAGTTTGTGTTTTTCAGACCATTGGTGTGTACACCCCTGGGACTTGTGGTCATGTGCAAAAGGATGTACCTAGGGTATTTTCCGGGGCTGTCAATTTTAGCATTTGGTTTGGAAGACATTTTTAGATTAAAAGAAATACAGATATATTGTAAAGAAAACTTTAAAATTTGCAAGAAATGTCCACTTGCTCTCTCTTGGCTATTTGGAAGGAGTATGTTTGTGAAAACGTCTGAGACCTTTTGCTGTAGTGATCACATTCCCCAGGAACAGAAAAGTAAGACCAGGGAGGATCCTAGAGCCTCCATACAAATTAAATGAAAAGGACCAAAAAAGGAGGGACATTAGAAATACTAACTTGGACAGGTCCTCTGGCTATGAAAGAGCATCATCAGAAATGGGGCCCAGACTATGGGAAGGATACGGGCAGAGAACCCCATAGAGACAATGCCTGGGTGACAGAGGAGGGTTACATCATATCCACTCTCGGCTTGAATCTCTGTTTGTTTTTTCACCTAGAAATTGGTCCACAATGTGCATAACCACATCACCAACGACAAGAGATTCAATGGGTCTGAAAGGTATGGTCCCCTTGAGGGAAAAGAATCACAAGGTACTCTGCCAAGGAGAGGGAGCTAGAGGGCTGTTCTAGTATGGCAGTGAGGCTAAGGCTTTGCTCTCACCATTGCCCCTTGCGTTCTGTCCTTGGTGGGGGAATTTACCACAAAGTTGATTCATGCCAGGAATCTCTGTTTGTCTGGCTTTTAAAATGCTGACTGCCTTGTTCATGATCTTTGCGGCAGCATCAAGTCCTCTTGGAATATTTCAGTAGTGAAGTTCCTTCTGGAAAAGCTCAAGCAGGAGCTGGTGACCAGTCCCCACAATTACACTGATAAGGAGCTGAAAGGTGAGAAAAAACTGAATTAACTCCCATCTCATCCTTTTTCCTCTTACTGTTCATGGTCAGAGAAGAGGCATAATGGAGATGATTTGGGTGGACTTTGAAAAAAGTGGACTTAAAATTTGGGGGCTAGTCTCACATCTTCTCCAAAGGATTGTTTCTAATTGCTTTTTTATTCCCCTTCCCCACTTGAAATGAAAATGGGAAAAGGAAAGGGCTGATACCAGCATGCATGATGTTTCTGCAGGGCCTGAATCTAGGGTGTTATGAAAAGGAAGTCAGAATCCAGGCCTGCCCTTTTTGTTTTTTTAAGTTTATTTATTTAGTTTAAGAGAGAGAGCCTGTGCACAAGTGGGGGAGGAGCAGAGAGAGGGAGAGAGACAGAATCCCAAGCAGGCTCCGGCACGCTAGTAGCACAGAGCCCCACAAAGGGCTCGAACTCTCAGACGGAGCCTTGATCATGACCTGAGCTGAGATCAAGAGTAGAACGCTTGACCAACTGAGCCACCCAGGCGCCTCAGGCCTGCCCTTTTGTCCCTAAATATTATGCCCTGGGTTTTCTACTTTCCTTACTCTTCTGTTATTTGCTTATAGCTAACCCTGAAGCATTTAGAAAGCTGCTGTTGAAAAAGCTCTTGAATCTACTACCAGCAGAGTAGAATGGGAGTGGGTTTAATTACTCCCAGGGCCAGGGAGGGAGTTACAGAAGCTTGTTCCAGGGTAGGGGGAGATATGGGTGGAGTCAGTGCTGGACATGGAGGTGAGTAGAAAGAGCTAAACCAAAGAGGAGTAAACAGATGCTGATGGGTCTGTGAGAAAGCCCACCCTCACCCTCCCAGCCAGTAGTGTCAGGGAAGAAAAAAGGGCTGAGGACCTGGTCCCGAAGACCCTGCTCTCTGCCCCTACATTCTCCCTCCTCCCAGGAGCCTGTGTAGCCTACTTCCTTACTAAGAGGCGTGAGTACCGCAACTCCCTGAACCCCTTTAAAGGCCTGAAGGAAAAAGAAGAGAAGAAGCTTCGAAGTCGCAGATACCGGGTAGGTGTCTAGGCCTCCCTTTCAAGATGCTAAATGCTAAACCCTACTAAGCTTCAGTGGGAAGGGCCAGAGGACCTGGCATCTGAGAATAGGGTCGAGAGCCAGGAATGTCAGCAGGTAGAGGAGGAGGGTGAGCCAGTTCTAAGACGACTTGGGGGCTAGTTTCTCTCAGGCACAGAATTTACACAGCCTTCCTACCCAAACCCTTTCCCCATATCTAATCCTTAGTTTGTCTCTCTTACTAATCTCTATCCTGGGCTTCTACCTTAGCTTTTTGCCAACCGATCTAGCATCATGAGGCATTTTGGACCTGAGGACCAACGCCTGTGGAAGGATGTGACAGAAGAGCTGATGTCGGATGAAGAGGACAGTCTTAATGAGCCAGGTGTCTGGGTAGCCCGGCCCCCCCGCTTCCGGGCCCAGCGCCTCACGGAGCTCTGCTACCACCTGGATGCCAACTCTAAGCATGGCACGAAAGCCAACCGTGTGTATGGACCTCCCTCAGACCGCTTACCTTCTGCTGAGGTGCAGCTCCTTCCACCAGAACTTTATAATCCTAATTTCCAAGAAGAGGAAGATGAGGGAGGTGATGAGAATGGACCTGTCTCCCCATCTTTTGACCAACCCCACAAAACCTGTTGTCCCGACTTGAACTCCTTCATTGAAATCAAAGTGGAAAAGGATGAATGAAATCTATAACCCAGAATAACTCTGGCTTCTGCCACTCCCCATGTCCCAGAAATGGATGGCCACGGGGCTTCCCAGAATAACAAGATGTCCTCTGCAGTCTGAGAAAGCAAATCTGTCTCTCTTCTTAACACAGTCCCCAATGGAAGTGGAAGCTGGCAGCTGTGCTGGGATAAAAAGACTTATCTAGAAGGGGGAAAACCGCCCCCCACTGTGAATGGCAAGCCAGAAAATGCTTATTTCTAAGCATAAATAGTGCCTCTGGGAGCTTGAGCTGAAAAAAGGAGGAGGATGGGTCTAAGAAACATGAAGCCTTCTTGACATATGCCCCAGTCTCTGAGTTGGTTTTCTGTTTTGATTTTTTTTTTTTTTTCCTGGTTTCACTCAAAGCTCTGGGGAAGCAGCCCTGGTCGTACCTTCTGCTTCTCTATGACTTGCTGGTCTAGCTCTGCAGTGAGAGCTGCACAGAACCAGCCAGGATAATACTGCCACCTGGTGGGCAGTATCAGCCATGGGCTTGAGTCTTCTGAGCAGAGCACAGCTCTATCTCTGGGAATTGGGATACAGATATAATAGCTATTGTTTATTGAATTATGTAAGGCAGATTTTATTATTCCCATCTTACACATGAAGAAATTAAAGCTTAAAGAGTTCCCATGCCTCCCTGGCAGCTGCTCTCCCACTGTGTGACCAAGCAATATATGGGGCTTTGTAGCTATTAGTCCTGTCAGCCAAGCTGTATTTTGAGGAAGGAGTGTGTGGGGTGTGGGTGTGGGCGTGTGTGTGTGTGTGGGGGGGGGGGTGCATGCCCATACCCACACACAAACCTTGTGCATTATGAATGGATCCTGAAGTAAAAATGGCTTTCCATTCAGTCAGTATGTAACAAGTACTGATACCTTACTAGGTGTCAGGTACTGTGTTGGGTGCTGTGGATACATTGTGGATCAGGTTAGACGCTGATTAGGTTTTATTATCTAATCAGGAAGACAGGCAGTTAAGTAGACAGTGAAATGAACTGTGATAAGAGTGATGATGTGGGGGGTGGGCAGAAGGTGCAGCTGACTGCAGGGGTGGCTCACCCACTTTGGTGGTCGGGAAAGGCTTCTCAGACAGCGGTGTTTAATACCTGAAAGATGGGGAGGAGTTAACCAGAAGGGAAGGGGTGGGTCACGAGTGTTCCAAACAAGGGAACCATAAGTAGGAAAGCCCAGAGGCAAGAGAAAACACAGAGGAGGTACCATCCTACTGCAGAACAGTTTGAGGAGGAGATGGTGCAGAGAGAAGCTGGAGAGACACAGAGACCTCTTCAAGTATCTTAGAGTATAGACTTTTGTTCCAAGGTCATGAGAAACCATTCAAAGGCGGTAAGCAGGGAAATGAGATGATCTGTTCTGTGTTTGAGAAGAATCACTTGCCCTGGGGATAAGCTGGGTTGCAGGCAGAAAGCCTGGTGGGGCAGTGGAAGTAGGGCGCGGCTTCTGCAGTGGTTCAGGAGAGAAGAGATGGGGGCTAGGCAGAAAGTGATGGTAAGGGGATTTGAAAGAGATTTAGGAAGCCGGACTGATAGGACTTGGTGATTGACAGGGCTTGGTGGGATTTAAGGCAGAGGGAGGAGGACATAAGGTTGACGTTCAGTTTTCTGGCTTAAGCACCTAAGTGGTTAATGGCACCGTTTACTTGGGATGCTGGAAGGGCCAATTTCGGGAGGCAGGGAAGGTGAAGTCAGTTGAGGGTGTTGTATGCCTTTGAGACAACCACGTGGAGATGATACTAGTCAGCTGAGTTTTTAAGTCTAAGCTAGTCTGGGCTAAGGGGCACCTGGCTGACTTAGTGGAGCACGTGACTCTTGATCTCAGAGTAATGATTTCTTTTTTTTTTTTTTTTAATTTATTTATTTCTAGAGAGAGAGAGACAGCATGAACAGGGGAGGGTCAGAGAGAGAGGGAGTCACAGACTGAAACAGGCTCCAGGCTCCGAGCTGGCAGTCAGCACAGAGCCTGACGCGGGGCTCGAACCCACGAACCGCGAGGTCATGACCCAAGCGAAAGTCGGACGCTCAACCGATTAAGCCACCCAGGCGCCCCAATCTCAGAGTAATGATTTCAAGCACCATGTTGGGCGTAGAGCTTACCTTTAAAAAAAAAAAAAGTCTGGGCTAGAGATACAGATTTGGGAGCCATCTGTACATAGTTCATAATTAAAGTCTTGAGAATGGAGAACAGGGACAGTGGAGCTCCTGGCTCCAAAAGAGTGGTTACCCTGAGGTCATGAGCACTAACTGAGCATGCCCTCAGTGCATCCCTGTCCCCCTTCACTGTTTCCTGTTATCTCCTGAAAATACAAGTGGTCGATCCCAACTGTGCCCATTGCTGCCCCCACCAAAGGCTTCTCAACTTTTCATAAAAGATTCATTCTCCCATCCTCACTACAAAGGGGGAAAGCTTCCAAATATGAGAGCCTCTGTGGATATTCTGGTTGTAGGTAACAGGAAGGAAGAATCCAGGTTCTCCTCCATATGGAGACGGGAAAGGAGGGAGAGCCTTATGGTTAATTCTGAAGATGTTGCTCACAGCAGGTTCTGGATGCAACCTGATAGCTCCCCTCTGTTACTAATGCTTTCAGTGTTCCCTGCTTCTAGTCTGATAGTGAACTCTCCTCTGGATCAGAGAAGAGCTGTAGGCCTGATAGGGAAACAGAGAGGCTGATTCTCCAGAGAGATGAGGTCAAGGAGACAATGCAGCTAGGACAAAGAAGCCAAATAGTTTGTGCCAAATTAATTTCCCCAAAGATATTAACCTCCTTTGCTTCCCCATTCCCTAAGGCTACACTAAGATTATGAAAGGTGTTCAAAATGTTGAAAGGAAAATAATATGCATGATTTGTTTGCATATAATTTTCATACTCATTTACTATCTAAATACAAAGGAATCATTTTCCTTCTCCATTCTACCTCCTCCACCCCTTGCGCCTGATGTGCTAGTCAGGGCAAAATCAGTTGACTGATATTTAATTAGGTATGTTCAGCTTCAGCCCCCCCTTTCCTTCATTCCTTGTTCTTGATCCTTCCAGTATGGCCCATACTGGAAGCCTCTTTCCTTTTTCCACCCTGATCATTTTCACTTGCTAACTCGTCTAAAGGACATTTCTCTTCTTCTTCCTAAGTTAATACTTACCCGTTATCACTAATCTCCTGCGGGCCAACCAAGGGGGAGGCGTTCGCCAGCCCTAGAACCTGTCCTTCTATCCCCATAGTCACCTGAAATAGTTGCTAAAAATCTCATTTCCCAACACCAGGGGGTGTCTCTATTCCTGTATCTGTCCTACCCTGAAGGTAGAGATTAGTCCCAACCCTTTCCCCCACTCTTTTTACAGAGCCTCTAAAGCTCCTTCTCTCCCTGCCATCGCAGAGCTTTGGGTTCAGAAAGTGGTGTCTTTTTATTGCAGATTATCTGTTGGTCTCTCATTCTGTCCGGACATGCACACATTTGTCTTTTCTTTCTTTTTTTTTTTTAAGTCTGTTCATCTTTCGGTCGCCGCACCACCCACCACGATCCCCTTTGCTCCCGCTCGCCTTTTCTTTCGCTACCTGTCTTTCGCTACCACCTCTCTACCCGAGTTTCCTCGCCCTTCGGGATTCTTCACATACGTGTCTCTGAGCCTCTCTGTAGATCTACCTTTCGTTCTCCCTGTCCCCCTCTTTATGGAACTCTCCCGGTCTCACTACTTCTGTGCCAGCCTCTCTCCATCTCTCCAACAATCCCCACAGTAGGAACAAAGTCACGATGTTTGCGCAGAACATGCCTCGCGTCGCCCCGTCCGGGACCGTCACATTCCACCGTGCCCCTCCGCGCATTCCAACTCCAAACAAAGAGTTCCCCTCCCCCTCCTCCACTTTTCCCCGTCCCAATTCCTAAGAGATGTAGCGGCGCTGCCCAAATTGCCACACGGCAGCCTCTCGCCTGCAGTCGACGGGTCTCCACCTCCTGGACAGTCACTACCAGCACCACCCTCCCCCTGCAGCGCACCAGAGATCCCTACGCAGACACCCCCGTTCCTCCTGCACACAGCGCTCCGCCCCTCCCGGAAAGTAGATCCGGCCAGGCAGACAAAAGTTTGGGAGAGAAGTTCGGTCTGTGCTGAGTGTGAGAGTGAGGGGGCGGGGGCCGAGGAGAGTTGGGCGGCCGGGCGAGTGGACGCCTGAACAGACAGACCTGCGGACGGGACAGCCGCTGCCGTAGGCCCTTCTGGCCCGCCTTAACCCCTAATGCGCGGGGGGAAGCAGCTCCTCCCGCTGGGGGATGCTGCGGGATTCCCGGTGCCGGGCATCCGGGCCGCTTGCTAAACCCCTGTGCCTACCCTGTGCCCCCAGGGAACCGGAGTCCAGCCGCTGGGAAAGAGAAGCGGCCGCAGAGACGCTGCAGGGTGCCGGGCAGGGAGGGGGCTGGAGGCCCCAGGCCCGAGGGCATGGAGCGGTTAGGGGAGAAAGCCAGTCGCCTGCTGGAGAAGTTAAGACTCTCGGACTCCGGCAGCGCCAAGTTCGGCCGCAGAAAGGGTGAATCTAGCCGGTCTGGATCTGATGGGACCCCCGGGGCGGGCAAGGGGCGTCTGAGTGGGTTGGCGGGACCTAGGAAATCAGGGCCCCGTGGAGCTACTGGGGGACCTGGGGATGAGCAATTGGAGCCAGCCCGGGAGCAGGGCCCTCTGGACGCTGAGCGGAACCCGCGCGGCTCCTTTGAGGCGCAGCGCTACGAAGCCTCCTTTCCCGGGGGGCCGCCTCCCACCCGGGCCTTGCCTCTACCTCAGTCATTGCCCCCCGACTTTCGGCTGGAGACCACGGCCCCAGCTCTAAGCCCCCGCTCCAGTTTCGCCAGTAGCTCAGCCAGCGACGCCAGCAAGCCGTCCAGTCCCCGGGGCAGCCTGCTGCTGGACGGGGCGGGGGCCGGTGGAGCCGGAGGTAGCCGACCCTGCAGCAATCGTACCAGCGGCATCAGCATGGGCTACGACCAGCGCCACGGCAGTCCCCTGCCCGCCGGGCCATGCCTGTTTGGCCCACCCCTAGCTGGGGCTCCAGCGGGCTATTCCTCTGGAGGGGTGCCGTCCGCCTACCCGGAGCTCCACGCTGCCCTGGACCGACTGTGCGCTCACCGGCCGTCGGGATTCGGCTGCCAGGAAAGCCGCCACTCGTACCCCCCGGCCCTGGGCAGCCCCGGGGCTCTAGCCGGGGCTGGAGTGGGAGCGGCAGGGCCATTGGAGAGACGCGGGGCGCAACCCGGACGACACTCGGTGACCGGCTACGGGGACTGCGCGGCTGGCGCCCGATACCAGGACGAGCTAACAGCACTGCTGCGCCTGACCGTGGGCACGGGGGGGCGAGAAGCCGGCACCCGCGGGGAACCCTCGGGGATTGAGCCGTCGGGTCTCGAGGAGCCGCCGGGTCCGTTCGTTCCAGAGGCCTCCCGGGCCCGGATGCGGGAGCCAGAAGCCAGAGAAGACTACTTCGGTGAGTGAGACAAGTGGTTAGGGATGGGTCGGGACCCGTCACAGCATTCGGTTACCCACTGCCCCGACAGCCCAAATTGCCGGCGCCGGGAAGTCGGAGGCGGAGACGCGGAGCTAGAAGAAGCTAGACTTCCCGTCCACCAGGTCTCAAATAGACCAGGGGCTCCCTATTCCTGCTACATTCAGCCCCCAGATTATCTCGTGAGTCCCAGTTTTTCAAGCTTTAGAGCCTCCGTTTTTCGCTGTAGGAGGCCTCGTAGGGAGGAGACCAAGTGGGGAGTGAGCGCATCCCCCATCTTGCTCCCCCCTTGGCGATGGTGCCCCTGCAGGCTTCAGCGCGCCGCGCCCCCACCCGGGCCCAAGCTCCGCCCGCAGGAATTCGGGGAATGCGCGGGTGGGGGGCGGGGCGGGCGGGCCGCGTGCGTGCCGGCTCCTGCCCGGGCGCTCCAGGTGCCCGCGGGCGGGGCCGGCCGCGCGGCACGGCGCGGCGCTTGGCGGAGGGTGGGGTGCGGTGGGGGGCGGGGGTGCTGCTTGCTCACACGCGCGCAAGTGGCCGCTGTCGGGGAAATGGAAGCCGGAGGGAGCATGAAGCATTTTGAGACAGAAAGCGGGGACCCTCCTGCTGGCTCGTCCCAGTCCTGCTGGCTAGCTGCGTACGTGGGCATTTAAGCGGAGACCTGGTGGTGTCCGCTTCTATTTTCCCTGTTCTCCAGAAGTCGGGGCATGACCGAAGCCATGACTACCCGGACACCAGCATCCCTAACTCGTTAACGACCCTGTGGAACTACCAGAAATAACCTGGCCTTCAGTTTTGGCCCCAACCTCGTCAGACAGAATTCAGGCTGGAAGTAGCACGTTCTTTCCTGCTGCTGTTAAGGAAACGTGGTCGCTGTTTCTCTCCCCCACGCGGTCACCTTTAAGAAGTTTTAATTGCTTCTATGTCACAGCTACCGGGGGATATTGGGGTCTTGAAGGATCTTTTTAGCTAAGACCCACAGCCACCACTTCGCTGTAGAAAAAAATGCTAATATGGCAGGAAGAACAGAAATGGAGGGCTGTGGGCCTCTTCTCACCTTTCTCACCACCCATGCTCCTGCCGCTGGACCCCATGCTCTAGATCTCTATGGCTAGAAATGCGGTGGGGGAGAGGAACCCAGCCAGGGAGGGAAGGTTGAGGTAGCAGGGCTGCAGTCCGGAAGTCCCCTGCCTGGTTCAACCTCAGTCCTCCCATCCTGGGAGAGGAAAGCTGGAGACAGCGCTTTGGTCAAGGGAGATGAAGAGACAGGATCTTTTTTGCAGTTTCCTTTTGGGGCCTGTGAGAAGTGGCTGTTGAGTGGAAAGAAGTCTCTTTGGCTAAGCCATCAGAGTCAAAAGGAAGAAAGGGGCTTGGACAGAGTGCAGTAAAATGGCAGGAAGAACCTAGGTGTGGATTTGCTGGGTTCGAGGAGGTGAGGCAGACATGCCTGAGCAGTTTGCGCCTGTCTTCCCATCATGTTCAAGGCTTCCCAAAGAAATGGTTCTGATGGGTCCCCCTGGTATGGCAATCTTGGAGCCGATGTTCACTCTTATGGGCATTTTGACCACAGAGGTAGGGGCCTCTCCTGCCTGGGAGTCGGGTTGCCCCCTCTGACAGAATCTCCAGCCTGACTGCACCCTCCTACCCTGGCTCCCAGTTAGGGGCCCTCTTCCTTGGCTGTAGCCTTGCCCAGCTGCCAGAGGGTGGGAGCAGGACAGGCCTGGGCCCATCAGTTGCTGCAGCTGCTGCACGGGCTCCCAAGCCCCTGGGCAAAGACTGGGATGGGCCCCAACAGGCAAGGAGTATGGCAGTGTGCCGAGGGGGAGAGGTAGGGCGGGGTGAGGCGGGCCCGTTGGGATCTGCTCCCCAAAGACAGGCCCTAGCCCTCACTCATGGGCCTGGAATTGGGGAGTGGAGGGAGGGAAGAACACACCCAGGAAAGGTGGGCGCCAGAGCCAGGTGTATGTGTTTTGGGTGGGGGGGGTGTTGGAGAAGAGCAGTTCAGCTCTACCCCTCCCGTGATCAATGTCTGGGAGACATTAGGGATTCTGTCACCCTTCCCCCACCTTCCAAGGCAACTTCCAGTCCCTGGAACACACCCTACATTCTTAGCAGCCACCTCCCCACAGGAGTCATGCTCACATGGTCCCCTCTGCACAGGGCCCTCTGCTGAGCCATAGCCTTCTTTCCATCCTTGGAAGCCTGGACATGTGGGACAGTAGGAAGTCATTCTGTAGCTGAATAGCAGCTCATTTTGCAGATGGGGAAACTGAGGTCCCAGAGAGGCTTTCTCTACCTGGCCTGCTTTCTGTAAGAGTCCACTGCTGGGACATTAGGGACTGGCATCTCTAACTCTTTGTCCCACATGGTGCCACAGGGATCCTATCCTAGCCTATTAGTCTTTTCTCCCTGACAGAACGTAAGCATTGAAGGCTAAGCACCATATCTTTGACCTTCTCCAATCTTCCACAGTATTGGTTGGACACCATATTTTTGGTAGGCACAAAACAGACGCCCAGAAAATATCTGTTGATTAATCACATAAACAAGAATGGGTCTGCTCAGCCAAGACCTTTTTGCATACCATTTCCCATTATCCTCTCTTCCCAGGAGGGAGCCCATCAAGGAAAGGCTGAGACCTCTGGTCCTCTGGCACAATTAGGAAAGAACAGTCAGGAAAGATCCTGGATCTCTGGTTTTGAGCTGGGGGCATAGGGTGTGGTGCTGACAACCTCTTCTCTCCCCTCAGGCACCTGTATCAAGTGCAACAAAGGCATCTATGGGCAGAGCAATGCCTGCCAGGCCCTGGACAGCCTCTACCACACCCAGTGCTTTGTCTGCTGCTCCTGTGGTGAGTGTATCCCCTAGGCCTTGCCCACAGGGTCGGGGCCTCAAGCGCTCCCCACATGCATCCACACTCACAAGTGCTTAGGGAGAGCAGAGCTTGTGCCTCTTCACTTGCTCACACAGCAGTCGGGTGCCTACCATATGTCTGGGTGCCCACTGCTGCCCCGTCTTCCCTTCTCTGTGCTCTACCTGACTCTCCAGTCCCCGTGTGGCATCTGCTTTCTACAGTCAGTCCTCCCTTCCTCCATTCAGCCTCTTTCCTCCCCTCTGTTCCTCCCTCTTTCTTCTGCCTCCTTGCTTGCCCAGCCTGGACTCCAGCCCGGGCCTTGGCCTCTCCTTGGTGGGGTTTGGTCCTGGGCAGTCTGAGTTGCCTGGGGCGACAGTGAAAGACTGGAATGTGGGAAGGGTGGGGGTGGGCTGGGGGAGTGGGGAGCCATGGGGGGCGGAGAGAGGGGTTTTCTCTTGGCTGGTCAGAGTTCAGCCACCTCGCTGGAGTGCAGGCCACAGGGCCATGCCAAGCTGATGACATCACGCTCCAGGAATGCCCGCTGCTGTTAGCTCAGGAGGCCCGCCTGGGAGGGGGGTGCTCCCAGCGGCCTTAACTCCCCAGCCCTTCCCTCACCTCCCTCATTACCCCTCCCCATTGCTTGCCCACTCTTGATTCCTTTGCTAAACCTTTAATCTCCTATCTCTGCCTGTCTGACTCCAGCACTCAGCTTTTCTCTCCCTCCACCCCAATCCACCCCCCCCCCCACCTCTGCCTGGTTCTCTTAGGTTCATCTATCTGTCTGTTCCGTTTATAGGGCCTTTTCTGGGTATGTCTCTTCCTTTCTTTCTACTCCTGCTGTGTCTCATGAATTTCTAAGTCAGCTTTTCTAAACCACCTGGCAGAGGTGGAAGTGGAGATTGTGATCAGAAGAGGGCAGAGGAAGTGGCAAACTTGCCCATTCTCCATCCTGAGTCTCACTCCTCCCCCCTCCCTGACAAGTTAGACACCCTGGAGCAGTTCCTAAGTGTTGATCACATGCTTTGTCTGCTCACAGAAGATCCTGGATTCTCTGGGTTCCTCTAAGCTTAGGTGGTGGTGGGGCAGTCCAGTGCAGTGGGAAAGGGAACTGACTTCGCTCCCAAGCAAAAAAGCACTTTGTCCCCAGCAGTAACGCCAGTATGTCCTGACCTGCCAAGCCTGTCCCTGGAAGAAGACAGACAGGGCTAGGAAAGCAGGATAGCTGTACACAAAGAGGCCCTTAGGTTGAAAAGCCCCAGAGGGCAAGGCCTTGTGACAATGTGACCACCTTTGTGGGCATCGTCCGGCACCTTGTCCAGAGCTCCTTTACCTTGCGCCCCAGCCTGTGGTTGGCTCTGCTTTCCCTGGTGGCTCCCTGTGCTCTGGAGAGAAATCCACTTGTTCAGGGAGGCCAGGAAATGAGAAAACTGTTGAGAAGGCAGGCACTGGAGAAGCAGTGAGCAGAGAGGGCAGGCGGGCAGGAATGAGACCGAAGCAAATTGGAATTGCATCAGATGGGATTTTTGTGTAGGGGGAGGACAAACACAGTTAGGAGCATAGGCATAAAGTCCAGACTTAAATACATCCTGCGACATTGGAGAGCAGTGACCCTGGGGCAGGGAAACCCTATACCTGGACCCCAGCATGGGCTCCAGTCCTTTGTCTGTGCTTCTAGGGCGAACTTTGCGCTGCAAAGCTTTCTACAGCGTCAATGGCTCCGTGTACTGTGAGGAAGATTATCTGGTGAGTGAGGGGTCCCCTGGGCCTGGATTTGGCTCCCACACTGGGACTCCCTTCTTGGTGGCCCATTGGGGTTTCCACCCATCAGGTCATTCTCTGCTTGTAATACCCGCCCTTGGTCTTTTCTTTCTCTGTAGTTTTCAGGGTTTCAGGAGGCAGCTGAGAAATGCTGTGTCTGTGGTCACTTGATTTTGGAGAAGGTAAGCAACACGTCTTAACCTGTGAGTCTCCGTGAGGCTGAGGGGGAGAGCCAGGGGCTAGGTGGGTACTGAGAAAGGTAGAGGGAGGAGCTATATCACCACATGAATCACTTTCATCTCATTCTTCCCCAGAGCAGCTGTTTACAGTGGCCTTCCTCTGCCTCTGGGGTCAAGTCTGGACCCCCAGTCCTGCCATCTCAGGCTTCCTGGTCCCTCCCTAATTCTGTAGGCACAGCCAGGCCCTCCACCTGAGCTAGGAATGTGGGGTCCTGGGTCTTAATGTCCTTCCTGCTACTGGATGGCTGGGATCAGTTAGAACTCAGGGTTGTTGTTTTTTGTTTTGTTTTGTTTTTAAATATACAAAGGAGGGGTAGGATTAGATCAGAGGTCCTCAACCCTAGCAGCCTACTAAATCACCTGGGAAGAAGTAAAGAAAATACTAGTGCCTGGGTCTTCATCAGAGACTGTGATGGATACTTCTGGGATAGGACCCAGGCATTGATGGGTATTTTAAGCTCCCCGGGTGATCCTAATATGCAGCCTGGGATGAGAACTGCTGGCCTGGATGCTCTCTAAGCACTTTTTCAAGGTTTCTGCCTCTCTCTTAAGAGTCCTGGCTTCCCTCAGATTACATAGCATTGTTCTGGGAGGATAGCAGGGGTTTGGGTAAGGTTGGGGGGCAGCAGGAAAGACCATGGGTAGCTGGGTACCTGGAGAGCCAAGACTGGAGGGAGACTGATTCTCCTCCCCCTCCGTGAGCCAGATCCTACAGGCCATGGGGAAGTCCTATCACCCAGGCTGCTTCCGATGCATCGTTTGCAACAAGTGCCTGGACGGCATCCCCTTCACAGTGGACTTCTCCAACCAGGTGTACTGTGTCACTGACTACCACAAGTGAGTCCACGTCCCTTTGGGGTGTGGTGTGGAACTGGGCTCGGATTCTCCAACCTCAATTCATCTCTGCCCTCTCTTTTTCAGAAATTATGCTCCTAAGTGTGCGGCCTGCGGCCAACCCATCCTCCCCTCAGAGGTCAGTATGTTTGGGTTCTCCTGCAGGGCAGCCAGTGCTGCTGCCCCTGGGAAGGGGAAGGGACATAGGGCCTGGCTTCCCGCGGGAGGCGGTGGCGCTGAGGAATGTACTCTGCGAAGATTCCCGTGTGACTCTGCTCTCAGGGTCACCACCCTGACCCTAACATCCGGGCCTGGACATGTCTGACAGCCTCACTGGGCCCAGGCTTCATCTGGTCTCTCCCAGTCCAGAGGAGGAGACTTTCTTTGAGGTCAGGGTCACCAGATCCCAGATGTAGGGGCTGGAAAAAAGGTGGGAAGAATCCTTAGGGCTGGCAGGAAGATGTCAGCAATGATTTATGCCGTGTGTGCTAAGCATTTGCCGAGGGAGAGAACCTGAAAGACGACGATACCCTGTTGGACCTCCTTGTCCCTGGCTTAGCTTACTTTGCTTAGGCTGCCTGCCCCTTTTCCCTCCCTCTGCTTCCCTCAAAGCTGGGAGGAGTAGGTAAGGCCAGAGCTGCTGGACAAAGGGAAGACAATGGAAGGACATGTCCTCCTGGAGGCAGCCCTAAGAAAGGGGAGGGGGAGAGTTCTGGTAGGATCTGCAAAGGCAGTCTCAAGCTACAGATGATTGTAGAGAGCTCTCTCTGGAGGCCTTTGTAGGATCTTCCCCTTGGAGTGGGAAGGGGCCCATAGTGGGGAGGTTAGAGTTGGGGCTGTCATGCTGTGCTCATCCCATGCTCATCCCATGGGGGTCTGCATCATTTCAGGGCTGTGAGGACATTGTGAGGGTGATCTCCATGGACCGGGATTATCACTTTGAGTGCTACCACTGTGAGGTGAGTGCTGGGAGTCAGGGGCTTCTGGAGAAGAACAGGAATGGGGCTGGGGGATGAGGCAGTCCCTGAACTGCCTGTAGGAGAGGTGTAAGGCATGGAAACCAGGAAGGTGCTCTGACGGGTCTCCAGTCTATCTGTCTGCCTGTCTGTCTGTCTGTCTGTCTGTCTCTCTCTCTCTCTCTCTCATCCTCCAGTCACTCTCCCTGGTCTTGGTTGTTTAGTCCTTTCTGAATCTGGCTGCCCCAGAGGCAAGACTAAACTAGGGACTCCAGCTAACCGCTGGAAATGGGAGTCTGTCTCATTATTTCTGCTGTAGCAGCGACACCTGCTGGCCCGCTGGGGTATTTTCTCAGGTTTCTCCTCTGGGAGTCTAGCCCTTCCAACCCCGCCCCCTTTCTTCCAGTCGTGAGGAGGCTGGTGTCGAGCAGGGCAGACTCCCAAGATGTCTGAGGTGCCTAGGCTGAGGTAAACTAGATGTCCTTCTTCCCTAGGACTGCCGGATGCAGCTGAGCGATGAGGAAGGCTGCTGCTGCTTCCCTCTGGATGGGCACTTGCTCTGCCACGGCTGTCACATGCAGCGGCTTAATGCCCGACAGCCCCCTGCCAACTATATCTGAACTGCAGTCACCGCTGCTGCCTTTCGCCACCATTGACAAATTCCTCTGGCCAGAGGCCCCCTCTGAGGCCAGCCGAGGCAAGGAACACACTCCCAGGCCGGGCAGAAGAGCCCTCTGGAGAAGGCCCCAAGGGCCAGAGACCCAAAGAGACGACATTCCAAATGGATTATGGAGAAGGACCTTCCAATTGCCATGGTGGGGTGACTGGCTTGCTTTCCACGTGTGCAGCCTGTACTGTAGCGTATACTCAGGCACACACAGGCGAGTTCCAGTACTTTCTAGAGGTCTGATTCCAGTCTGTATCTCCAGTGTATCTTTATGCGTAAGTCAAGTGATGTTGTGGCTATGGATTATAGGAAGAGAGGACATCATGAGCACTCCTCACTCTTTTGTACCTCTCATGTGGGTCAGGTATGGGGTCAGCTGGTTCTTACCACAATGTCTGTATCTGGATAAAAAGATGGAAACTAGACCTTATTACTGAGGTTTTTTTTTTTTTTTTTTGGCCACCTTCTCTTTATGGACTTGGAGTGCTGCTCACCCATCTGCTGGGAAGGGGGACAGCTCTAGGTGGGCCTGTCGCCTGTATTGCCTGTTTCTCAGGGACTCACATGGGCCTGGGAAGGCTAGGTGGGTGCCCGTACTTGGTTCCTCTTCTCCTCAGCCTGGGGAGGTAATGAGTGGGTCTTTGGGGGTGGAGGTGCCAGGCGAGACGTCTAAGAAGTGTCAGGCCAACCACACTCCGTGCACGCGGCCAGGTGTGCACTGATACCTCCAACCCAATATAGACACACATAGGCACATTCATAGACACACTGTCTCACTCCCTTCTTCTCAGGTCAGTCTTCCCCGGTTCCCTCATAGTCACTCGCCACTCTCGACCTGCCACCTTTCAGAGGAAGCTAGGATTATAACCACTGCAACTCCCAAACTCTGAGGTTCTGGGGAGGCGGAGGGGCAGCACACTTTGATCTGGTTCTAGTCAGTTTGGCTGAAATTGGTTTAAGCTAGATTCCCTTAAAGCCAATTCATGGGAGACGTGTATGCTTAAAGTTTACTTTTTTCAGGGGGGAGGGTGCAAAAGTGGTTTTATTTAAAGCACGGGAATAGGACTCGTGGGCAGAAAGAGCTGCCAAAGTTTACTTAATGATCAGTTTGCCAAAAGCTCAATCCCTGTGGGGTATTTTTATAGCCATTTAGGTATTTCGTTGTTATGTTTCAGGTGTTTTCAGGATTTATATCTGTTCATCCAACAGTACTTCTGAGTTATTGTCAACAACATAAATTTATCAAATTTGCAGCACTTTGTAACGATGAGATTGCTTCCTACCTTTATGGACATTTTCCTATGTTACCTACTCTTCAAACACTTTTCTAAAAAGTTTAAACTTTCTAGCAATAAGTATAATTGGTATGGACATTTTGTGTATCATTTTTTGTGTTTCTTAATTCAATATGCCTTTACAAGTTAGATGCCTTGGAACACTTAATAGAGCTCAATATGATCTTGATGCTTTGGCCTAACTTCTACATTCCTGCTGTTAAAAGGGCCAATATATTCTAAACAAATGAGCAGCCATGTGGCATATTCTGTTGACTAATAATTAAAGGTTACATGGACAACAACAATTAAAAGTGAAAGGGCAGATCTACTAAATCCTTTTGAAATGCTGCAAATTTGATAAATATTTGTTTTAGACTAATTGTCTGTAGGTGAATTGGTTTTAGGCAAATTAATCTAATAATCTTTGATTCTTAGTTTTCATTTCCTGTCACTTAGAGTTTCATCCTGGAGATGGGGACTCCTGAGAACAGAAATTCTGCATTTAGGGGTAATTCTAAGGTGACCGTGCCAGCCAAGCTGGGGTTGCAGAGGAGAGGCCTGTGCACGCGGGTGGGAGTGGGGTAAGAGCTCATATCCGTACCCCTGACTGCCAGAGGAGATGCACTTTTTCTGGAGGGATAAATGATCTGAAACTAGATTACTTGGTCTACAGAGGGGATTGCTTCTTCTGAATTATTATTAAATAAGTGAATACAAAGACTCTGACTGGGCAATTTTCTCACCAGGCTGCTCCAGGCCTGGGAAATCCAGACAAGCATGTATACCTCTACAACCATCCCTTCTATGACTCTTGGAGGTCATGTGCCCTCTGACCTTTCGTTTCTTACTCCGATTTCAGCCTCCATCTGTTGCCGACTGGCTGATTCCTTTCTGGGTCTGTGCTCCTCTGTGGCAGCCCTGGGGCTCCCTGAGGCTGGGGCTACTTCCTTCCTCCGCCCTGAGAAAAGACAAGTGCTAGCAGCCGATGAGGACAGGCCCAGGGAAGGCAGGCTGTGGCAGAAGAGCAGCCCCAGCCGCCCCATGTTGTCACTGACCGGCTCCCAAGTGTACCCTGCGTTGCAAGAGTCCGCTCCTATTCGCCAGGAGACGGCTCATCCGGACCCGTTCTATTTAATATTTATAGCTAATAGATACAGCAAAGGATACAACAACAGGTAGACCTTGTCTGGCCAGCTTACCGCCTGATTTTTGTCAATAGCCACTAGGCCTGAGGTGGGGGCAAGAGGGAAATGGGATCACGGATCCATTTTGTGTCTCTACTCGAGAGTCACAGTACAGGGGTCAGGCTTTCGCAGCAGACCAGCTGTTTGCTCTGGTCAGCTCCGTTCACTACAGATCCGAGTGTGGTTTGGTTTATGAGGAATAAGGCTGGTGGTGGTTCTTCCTCTGGCTCACTGCTTCAAGACCTGTTTCTCCCTTCCCCCTTTCCTAGGCCAGGGAGATGGTAAGATTCCATTTGCAATCAGGCCGGAGACTGTCCTCAGTTGAGGAAGTAGAGAAAGCTATTTCTAGGCACGTAAAGCCAGCTGGATAAGGTCCTTGAGATTGCATGTGTAACAAGAAGGATAACGAGAGAGAAAGGAGACGGATAGGATTGAGACAAAAAGATTGGAAAAACCAGTGAGCAAAAGCATGTTGTTGTTTTAGAAGGATCCAGACCCCAGAGCGCGGTCATTTGGAGCTGTAATGTTAGAGGGCTCTACAACAAGGACAGTCTCTTTCCTCTCTGTTCTCCCTCACAGCAAAGGGGGACCCAAGATGGTCTCTGCTTTGCCGCCAGTTACTGGTGTAGAGCTCTTGGAATCCACACTTGGCCCTGGTTGTGAAGAACCGAGGTTTGACCTTGGAAACAAGAGCAAACCGTCACTGGGACGTCTGGATTAGAGCAGTCTGACTGGTGTTGGAGAGTACTCAGAGGCAGATTCTGCCCACCTGCTCTTAGAAAGGATAGCGCTGCCCTTTGTGAAAGGAGCCAAGGAACGATCCAAGCAGGGAGACATGGGTTAGCAGGAACATCTGCTGAAAGGTGTAGGTGTCCTAGAGAGTTAGAGCCAAGCAGGGTATGACTTTAGAACCCAGTGACCTCATTTTACCAAATGAAGAACTAGAAGTGGAACGATAGTGGCACTTACCTAAGGTCATGCAGCTGGAAAGAGTTTCCAACTTTTGAAGACTAAGAGCTTATTTCCCCTCTTCCCTCCCACCCGGGCCCTCCTCCCCATTGCAGGGACTCCCGTAGCACAAGTAGACTGTAAATTAGATCAGCCCTTCATTATGATGGATTATTAGGGAAAGTTTTAGTGGGAAAGCCAAGGAATGTAAGAGACAATAATGAAAACGTGTGATTCTTACTGATATTTGGTTGGTTGGTTGGTTTTGTTTTTGGCTAATTTGAACTAGCAGTAGCCAAAGTACCTTTAAAAGTACATTAGAAGAAGCAAAAGAAATACACTTCAGGAGAGTCCCTGCCCTTGTGGAGGTCACAGTCTAGCCAGGGAGACAAATACGCACATAAAATGCCTTGAGAAGATTACAAGCAACATGTCGCCAAGTGCAAAGTAATTGAGTGTTACAAACAAAAGACCTAATGCTGCAGGCTACAGATGACAAGGGGGGGACTCCGTTGGACTTGGATTGTAGATCAGAAGGTGGCGGCCCAAACACAAATCCTGTCCCCAAGCGCATCCTTTGGCCGCTGGGAGTGGGAGTTATTTTTTTATATTAATTTGAACCTTCATTGAGGAGGGGAAAACGCCAGCTAGTAAATGCAGAAAGCAGGATAAACTTGGAAAAACAGCATTTTGTGGACCTGAATAAAATTATTGATTCAGGCCAAATTATTAATTAGAGTGAAAACTCTAAGAAGCGGTTGGTGGACAACTGGACATAAATACAATGCCAAGTAACCTACCAGCTATGGTCTTGTCATCACTCATTTCCTGGAATGGGTCTTAGTATCACTAGCCAGTCGACTGGTTCTGGTGTGAGGCAAACACACAACCCAACCTAGTGTAGAGTCTGGCTGCTCCCCACCCCGGGGAGAAGCATGACATGTCGCTTGCGGTTTACAGGAAGGGTTGTGAGAAAGTAAGGGACACCAGGAGGAAACAACCGCACAAACCCAGGAGGTGAGGCACCCTGCAGGGCAACGGGCCAGCGCTCCTCAGCAAGTCTGCATGATTTGTTTACAGCATCTAAACTGTGAGATTAGAGAGACTTAAGCTATCTAGTGACAATCCAATACATGGTCCTGGAATCCCTACTGGTTTAAGCAAATTGCTATAAAAGATATTTGGAGTCAACTGGGAAAGTTTTTATATGGACAGGGGATTAGATGCGGTGAAAATTTACTGAGACGGAAAGGTCAAAATCATTAACAAAAATGCCAGTCACAAAACCAGTACAGGGTAATCACATTTTGTTTTAAAAATGTCTATATGTTTATTAAAAAAAAAAAAAAGACCTGACAGGATATACATGAAGGTGTTGACAGCGGTGGTCTCTGAGCGGCGAGAGTATGTTTTTGTGTTGTTGGCCTACATTTTCTATTATTATACAGTGCACTGGTACTGCCTCTGTAGTAGTAATAAGCTGTTATGAATAAAATAACTAGTTGCCAATATTTATAATTAAGGAGACTTCACACAAAAATCTGTGAATTGCACATGAAGAGTGGGGTTTCTAAGGTTTTTTTCTGAATACTCAGAAGATCAGTCACCCCGGCCTTCCAGTCTCCCAAGGCAACAACCAGTTGGAACCGAGGAATGGCTGCTCCTTCCTAGGGTGATTTCTCTCCTCCTTTTGTCACAGTCCTCCCCCACTCTGTGTGCTTCACACTGCTCACCTGCCTGCCTCCTGGAGACCCTCTATTTGAGTCAGTGACCTTCTCTTTGGATGATCCTGGTGGGCTCCCTCCCCATCCATAGAGCCTCCCATTATGAATCAGTTGAAGGTATCAACAAATTAGTTTTGAAATGCTGCCTGAGAAGAGCATCCGTTCCAGAGTTACCTGTGCCTAGGTTTTGCCTTTTTTTTTGTTTTTGTCTTTTTGGTTTTTTTATAAGGCAACCCAGTCATGGGAAACCCAGATGTAATACTTCATCTACTTAGCTGCCACGGTTGCGTACTGTAAATGAGTTTAGCAAAATTTCTCTTTGGTAAATGGAATTTGGAAAGTATACTAAATTGCTAACTTCATCAAGATTTTGCTTTTTTTTTTTTTTTTTTTTGCCATAACACCTTCATCTTAGGAGGCATTTCCAAATTTCAGTGTATGTTCTTCCCAAGCATGAAACTCCAAATGCCCTTTGGTTGGTTGGTCTGTTTCTTCCACTGGTTCTGATACAGTTTTTAAAGGAGAAAATCTCTTTCATATGCAACTCAGTATAAGGCAGTGTCATCATCAGTTTAAAATCCAGGGAAATACTTTTATCAGCCTGGCACATGTTTTCTCATTACAGCAGCACACTCCATCCTTATTACAAGAACTGCACACGTTGGCCTCATGTCTAGCTTTTCAAAATGATACTGGTCGTCTTCTGAATCAATTTCCTTTACTGTCTCACATTCCTTTGGTAAAAATGGTTTCAATCTGTCCCATTTTTTGAGCCAAATTTCTCAGCTTTTCTTTGAGATCCAAAATGTCCTATCAGGCCTTATTTATATACTAGTTCACAATGGCGCCTCAGTAAAACCAGGCTCATTTCAGTTTGTATAACAAGCGTTTCCATGAACAGACGGGTAACCCCTAAAGCCACATGGGGGCTGGGTTTGAAATCCCCTCGGAATGGTTAAGCAATTGAAAAATGGCACATTATGAACATTTGTTCCAAAATTGTCATTCGATGTCATAGGTTGATTACATATTTTCTTTATCCACTTGTTTTCTCCTTAAATCATGTACTTACAATGGGCATGGAATTTCCTAGCTTAATCATCAATAGTTGTGTCTCTGAATACCTTCATTTTCCAGTGAACACCCTTGAAAATAATTCAAAAACCTCTTGACTGCCTGTAAATTTTATTCCTGAAACTAGTTTCTGGGTCCATAATACAAATACATTCTTGCTACTCATCCTCAGATACTTTCAAAGTAGTATGGTTCTTTTTTTTTCTAATTTTTCTAAACAATTGCTCAGTTAAGTGTAGTTCCATACTCAAAAGGCGATTTTAACACTCTAGCTCTGAAATCTGTTATTTAAGCCCAAATTTTCCATGTGAGAACATACTTTACCCAAAAGTTCCCATTGGTTTGATAAATAGAATGTGTACTAAATACTCTTATCTTTCCAGTGCCATTTTGTTTCCTGGCTGGAGTGTGGGAGGCAGAGGTCTTAACAATGTTCTCAGCAAATCTCCATTCTTGTCTGTAATTCAAAACAATGCAGCAAAGGAATGTCCAAGTCTGAAAGGTTAGGTAAACTTTTTCTCAGGCTCCCATTTACATTTATCATCAAGTTCAAAACATACACATTCATATTTTTTGAATACTAGATCAGGAGCAATGTCTTCAAGAAAGTAGAGCTAGATTGTAGGCAGGAGATATGCCTAATTTATCTTTCTACACAACCACCCCACCCCCACCCCCAACTCCTTGCAGGAATCTAGCCCAGGAATACTTGAGCATGTTCTTGGCTTCATCATTAAAGAACATTTAAGAAGTGAGTGATCATATTTTGCATATGGCAGAGCAGAATGTGAGATGAACAACACTGATGAAGAAACAAGCCCATAAAGGTCAAGCATTCCATGGAACAAACAAAACCATATAAGGAATTAACATTGTGGGATGGTGAAAATTCATTCTTTCAACAAATAAGTGCTCCGTATGCCAAGCACTGAGATAGGTACTTTAGGATTGTGGAGGAAGCACCTCCTTAAATACAAACCCAAACAAATGAAGGTTTTAGAGTGGATTCCATGCTACTTCTCAGCAATAAAAAGACACAAACTAAAAAAATGGACTATTGGTACTAGCAACAACATGTATGAATTGCAAAATTATGCTGAATGAAAGAAGCCAGACAAAAAAAGAGTATGTCTTTATTGTATTCCATTTATATAAAATTCTAGAAAATGCAAACTAATCTATAGTGACAGCAGATCAGTGTTTGAGAGGGGCCAGAAAGGATTACAAAGGGGCACAAGTAAACATTTAGAGTGATGCATATGTTCACTATCTTGATTGTGGTGATAGTACGTATGTATAGTTAAGGGTGAAACTTAATGAATTGTACATGTTAAATATTGTATGTCAAAATACCTAAATAAAACTTTTTTTTTAAGTTTATTTTTGAGAAAGAGAGATAGCGTGAGTGGGGAAGGGACAGAGAGAGAGAGGGAGACAGAGAATCTCAAGCAGGCTCTGTACCTGGGGCTCGAACCCACAAAACCTTGTGATCGTGACCTGAGCCGAAACCAAGAGTTAGATGCTTCACTGGCTGAGTCACTCAAGCATCCCATAAATAAAACTATTTTTGTGTGTGTTTTGTTGTTATTGTTTTATTTTTATTCTTTAGAGAGAGAGAAAAGAAAAAAGAACACATGTGAGCAGGGATGAGAAGCAGAGGGAGAGAGAATCTCAAGCAGGCTCCACACTCAGCAAGAAGCCCAAGCAGGGATCAGTCCCATTACCCTGGGATCATGACTTGAGCCAAAATCAAGAGTTGGATGCTCAGTTGACTGAGCCACCCAGGAGACCCCGTATTTAGTTCTTAATTTATTTTTAGTAATCTCTGCACCCAACTTGGGGCTCAAACTCACAACCCTTAGATCAAGAGTCCCATGCTCTTCTAACCGAGCCAGCTAAATGCCCCTGTGGGCATGGTGGTTGTTGGGGGGGGGTTGTTTGTTTTGTTCTGTTTTTTTGTTTTTGTTTTTGTTTTTTTGTTTAATTTTTAATGTTTTTATTTATCTTTGAGAGAGAGAGATAGAGACAGTGTGAGCAGGGCAGGGTCAGAGAGAGAGGGAGATACAGAATCTGAAGACAGGCTCCAGGCTCTGAGCTGTTAGCACAGAGCCCGACGTGGGACTCGAACCCACGAACCGTGAGATCATGACCTGAACCGAAGCTGGACACTTAACCAACTGAGCCACCCAGGCACCCCTGTTTTTGTTTTTAATCAGAGTAAAAATGGAAGGAGAGAGAGAGGAAGACAATGAATTCTAGGGACTCTCTTGCAAATCTTACTTGCTCAAGGACACCAGATGGTGTGTGATTGTAAAATCTTTTTTCGGTACTTTGCTGCAGTTTTTATTGCCAAGATGGTCTATGGGCTCAATGTTGTAGTCTTGTGTAGAACTGGCCTATACAGTCCTTCACTTCAGCTGGTCCAGTTTTCTCTTGAACCCAGAAGGCAGCTTGGACTCCCTGTCTCTGCCTTGGCTTGCTGGGATGTTTCCTCCATTCTAAATGATCCGAATTTTCTCTCCTTTTCGGCCCAGTTAAGATTAATTTCAGTCTTTACTATCCAGCCCTGCAGAAAGAGTTCTTTACCTTCCTTTAAGTTTCTCTAGTATTTATAATATTTAAAAAAATTTAAGTTTGTTTATTTTGAGAGAGAGGGTGCACACTCATGTGAGCAGAGAGGGAGAGAGAGACAGAATCCCAAGCAGGCTGCACGCTATCACTGCAGAGCCCGACACGGGGCTCAATCTCACGAACTATGAGGTCATGACTTGAGCCGAAATCAAAAGTTGGATGCTTAACTGACTGAGCCAACAGGGAAACCCAAAGATTCTTTATTTTTAAGTAATCTCTATACCCAACTCAAACTTAGAACCCTGAGATCAAGAGTCACTTACTCTACTGACTGAGCCAGCAAGGTGCCCCTCCAGTATTTATAATCTAAACTACTCTTTTGACACCTTTTTGCTGCCTTGTATTATTTGCTTTTCATGTATATGTCTTATCTTCTCAACTAAATTATGAACTTCAGGGCAGGGACTGGGTCATATTTATCTTTGTGTCTGTCTCAAGGCACTTACTATGTGCTCAATAAGTGTCAATTTTAAAATACCTCACTTTGATAGTCTTTCCAAAGCACTTTTCAGCCATTATCTCATTTGATCATTACATCAACACTATGAGATTGGAAGAGCTAGAAATATGTTATTTCCTCCTTGTGACAAATAAGGAACCTGAAGTCCAAGGTCACACACACACACACAGAGAGAGAGAGAGAGAGCGCTGAATTACATATGAAGGTTTAATCCAATTCAAGGCTTCCCATGGCTCTCCCCCTCTACACTATCTTCACCCTTCACCTTCTCATTCCCCAAGTCCTTTAGAGCTATTTAGTCAAAGCTTTGTAGTACCATATTATAAAACTTGACAAATATGAGACACGAAATTTCAGTAGATTTCTGATCAGCTCTGAGTCACCAAAGCATGCTTGCTATTTTGTTCCAAGTGTCGTTTGTTAGGGACATTATGCCTGATATTTAATGATGCTGCACCACAGAGCTGAGGAAGCATAAATGATTTTTAAAAGCCGTAGAAAATGACAGCACTTTAATATTAAGCACGAAAGGTGGCAGCTGACGTGATGACCAGAGATATAAAATTTCTGCACTGGATCACACTATTCCTCTATGTATTGCCAGTAGAACACTCTAGTTGGTACTAAAGGAAATTATGAAACTCTCTACCACCCTGCACGCCTAACCAAGATTCCTGCCCCCATCACTCCCAGACTACTAGCTTCTCTGATGCAAGAGATTTGAGAAACTTGGTGTAATGTACTTAGCATCAAACATTATTTTGGAAATACTTCACTAAATGACTACATTCCAGTCAACTTTGAAAAGAGGGTGGGAGTGGTGTTTAAGACAGAGAGAGGTGGGGGAAGCCCCTTGACGGGGAGTAGTGATCAGGGGTTAAAGTCTGTAGGCAGCCTCAGGTCAAGCCCAGTGAGAAAGCCAGTGGTCCCCTTCCTCCCATCCAACCTCCTGCTGGGATCCCTCATTGGCTGAAAGCAGTCAGAGCATATGGAAACCCTGAAGGACTTACAGGTGGTCCTCACTGGTGTATATAGGTGTTAAAAAAGCAGAATGTGTATGGGGGAGGGGGTGCAAATGGAAGACATCTAGCTCATTGGTTCAAAGATGGGCGCTGTGACCCAGTCTGGCCAATGAGACATATGGGAAAGTCTGCTGAGGGCTTTGGGAAAGACTTTCTTCCCTGACTGTTGCTTGAAGAAGGCTCCCACACTTCCTTCCTGCTCTGGATGCTGGTGGGTTGGATGTACTTCTCGGATTTCTGCAGCTACCTTGTGACCATGAGGAAAACGCAAAAAACCATGACCACAGAGCTACTAAAAAGCCTTGGGATCTCCAGCTCCAGACTTCTTGTTAAGCAAACTATACAAGTCCCTATAGTTTAAAAAGGAGGGAAAGAAGGTGGAAGGGAGGGAGGGGGAGAGCGAGTGAGCCAGCAAGCAAGCCTGGAGAGGGAGGTGAATGAAGGATGAGAGGTAATGAAGTTAGGGGAGACTGGGGGAGGAAGCTGGCCTGGGGGACAGCGCCAGAGCGAGGAGACTGGCAGGCTTAGTGTCGGCAGCAGGTCTAAGGTTCAGAGGGCCATTGGGTCAGATTTAGACTGTGAACTGCGGCCTTGAACAAGTCACTTAACTTCTTTGCGCCTTAGTTTTCCCCTCTGTAAAATGGGTATGATAGTGATTCCATCGCAGGATGCGCTAAGAACTGACATAAGAACTAAATGAGGAACGGCAAGGCAAGTAAAGCCTCTTGACATAGTTCCTGACTCATTGTAGGCCCTCGATAAATGTTAGCAATCATTACCATTTTCTCTACATTTGCCCTCAACAAAGCGGAGGTACTCAGGAAAAGGGGCAAAGAGGCATTCCCATCGCGCACTCCAAAAGCCGGGCTCTCGGACTGGTGAGGACTGAGGGCGCGCGCTCGACGAGGGGCGGGGCCCCGCGTGAAGCGGGAACTGCAGGCCCCTCCCACGGGGCCGTCAGTGCACTTTCGGCCTTTTCCTCCCCTCCCCCGACGTTCCTGCGCGGTCCTCCCGGGCCTAGCTTCCCCCAGCCCTAGCGCCGGCCCGAGTGAGAGGTTCCGGAGCCCGGGTGCGGGCGGGATTCCGGCTTGGAAGCTGCCGGCCATCCCCCCCAGGCCGTCCCGGTCTGCCTCGGGAGCTTCAGGTGCCCCATGGTGTGCAGGTTTGCTTCGGAGGGTCGGAGGGCGGCGCGGCTGGGAGGAGGAGTGCCGGGAGGGTCAGTCCGGCCAGCCCCCGGCCTCCGGCCGCGGCCGCCCTCGCCCTTGGGAATCCTTGGCTGCCCAGACGCAAGGAAAGTAGGCGCCGGAGAGCCCGCTCCGCATTTTGATTCATCTCGGGCCCTGTAAGGGTCACATCTTGTGAAAATACCTGTAAAATCAATTTAACGTTCAGTGCAGCGTGTAAAGACAGCTCTAAGAATTTAAAAGACGCCTGAGTCAGAACATTTAAATGCTTGGGTCCCTGTAGCAGCGTTTTAACACGTCTTGAGTGCAGAGGGTGGAGAATCGAGCCTGATTGCCGCCTTCGTTCACGCCCTGTAACATTTTAAAAGGGTAAAGAAAAGCACCTTAAGAAAACCCAAGAGGGCAGTTCCCCTAGGGAGGGAAGGACAGCTGACTTTTTTGAAGTTTGGATTGGTCTTCCTTTCCGTCTGCGAAATTTGCCTGCAGAACTTAGATCAACGATAAACAGAATCGTTAAAACACTGAGCTTAACTAACTAGTGGCTTTTGTTAACGAGTCGATTGTGTTATTAATTCTTGATGTCTCATCCAAGGCAGGATTTATTATCTCTGTTTTGCAGGTGGAAGAAAGTTTGGCACAAAAAAGCATTTCCTTAACTTCACACAGCAGCGACGTCTAAGCTGCAAATTAAGCCCTACCATCTGGACTCCTCATCTGTGTTCTCCTCTAGACCATGTTACAAAACAAATGAGTAGTAGGGGCCCCCCGAGTGGCTCAGTCATTAAGCATCCAACTCAGTCTTGGCTCAGGTCATGGTCTCATGGTCGGTGGTGGGATGGAGCCACTCCCTCACCCCAACACGGGCTTTGCGCTCACAGCATGGAGACTGCTTGGGATTCTCTCTCTCTGTGTCTCTCTCTCTCTCTCTCTCTGTCTCTCTCTCTCTGCTTGGGATTCTCTCTCTCTCTCTCTCTCTCCCTCTCTCCCTCTCTCTCTGTCTCTCTCTGCCCTTCCCTGCTCATGTTTGATCACACATTCTCTTGCTCTCTCTTTCTCTCTCTCTCAAAATAGGTAAACTTAAATAAGTGAGTAGTTACTTTGATGCTACTCATAAAACAAGGGAGTAAACCAAATGTTCTGTGAACATAAAGTGTTAAATCATAATAACCTTCAGTGTCTTCTTTGGGAGGCCCAGCTGCCCTTTGGAGTTTAATACCTTTGAGAGAGAAGGGGGTGGAGCAAAAAAAAAAAAAAAAAGTAAGATAAGGTCAAGGGAAAAATTCTCTCTGGAGTCCACAAACTGTGCCCACCTTTACTGCCCCTTCATGTTCATATCATCCTTTTCAGTGTACTCCATGTTCTGGCAAAACACCCGACAGCCCACCTCCCAGCCTTAGCTGTATTAACTACACCTTTGCATTGCTCTTTTGGCACTGACCTTCCTGTCAGTCTTCTTGTCATGCTCTTTCCTCCAGGTGCTCTTTACTAACGCTGTTATGTGAAAACCAGTGGTTGTTGTTCAATATGGAATGATTTGTCACTCCTGAAGGATGATTCTAGAGTTAATGATCAAAAACTACCAACAGCTCTTCAATGAAAGGACAAGTTAAAGAAGCACAAGAAACTATTGTGGAATTTGATAGCGGAGTTATTTGACTGGGGGGAAAAAACAGATATTGACTCCCCCCCTTCCCCCAACTCACTCATAACTGGCAAGCAGCAGCTCTGTTTTAACTTAGACATGATGGTAAGGGGAGGAGAGCATCCTCCTGTTTAGTGAATTGGAAAATTTTCTTTCCGAAGGAGGCTCCTTTTTAGACGGCTTGGAACAAGTGGAAACATTTATGTGCTTAGAATGCAGATTGTTTTGCCGCATAGAAGTCTGTCGATAAAACATGCAAGAGCTTGGGACCCAGGGTGTGCAATATAGTCCCTCCCTGTAAGAGGCATCCCTGAGGTTCCTCCCCAGCTCGTAGACAACAGAAACTTGAGCGGATGGTATTTTCTTGGGAGCAGCAACCCAGTTTGTTCACTTTGTGTTTTCTTTCGCCCAGTTCCACAGATAAGAATTTCAAGAAAATCAGATGGCATCCGGGGATTTCTGCTCACCAGGAGAAGGGATGGAAATACTCCAGCAAGGTAAGGGCTGCCATTTGAAGGAGGTTTGATGACTTCTCCAGAGAGATCTTATCCCGGTTCTCGCTTTCTATGATAAAAAGGATTTATAAAGTTCACCAGTATAAGTTTCTCACCTAAAAGCCTCAGTTTCTGGGGGAAACTAGAGAATACATGAAAATTCTTAAACACTCTCTTATTGGAAAACATATTACACCGGCTCCTGTTAAGTGCCTGCTCGTGCAGTAGACTAAAAACTCACATACTGCTCCCATGCTGTGTCAGCAGGCATACCCTGAATAGAAGGCTGGCCAGCAAACTCCGTGAAGGCTTCCTTCCTACCTGGATCTTGAAGTTTCTCATATCTTGTACTCCAAAATCTCAGATGCTTCCCTACCCTCCTTTATCGTGAATTCTCATTATTTTTTTTTAGTTTTTAGGTTTTTTTTTTTTGAGAGAGAGAAAGAGAATGTGCTCAGGGAAGGAGCAGAGACAGAGAAGAGGAGGAGGAGGAGGAGGAGAAGGAGAGAGAGAATTCCAAGCAGATCCCACACAGTCAGCGCAGAACCTACCCCCCCCCCCAAACCCCCGGCCTCAGGGCTTGACCTCACAAATTGAGATCATGCCTGAGCCAGAAATCGGTTGCTTAACTGACTGAGCCACCCAGGCGCCCCAAAGCTCTTAGTTTTATTAGAAACTCGTTCCCTAATCCTTGATCAATATCTTTGTATATACATAAATGCTTGTTACTTTGAGTATTGCCTCCAGTTTATTTTTGTTTTTTTGTTGTTTTTTTCTTTAAACAGTTCTATATGGGCGCCTTAGGTGTCTCAGTTGGTTAAGCGGCCAACTTGGGCTCAGGTCATGATCTCACGGCTCGTGAATTCAAGCCCCGCATCAGGCTTTGCACTGACAGCTGGAGCCTGCTTTGGATTCTATGTCTTCCTTTCTCTCTACCCCTCCACCCTCGCATTCTGTCTCTCTCTCTCAAAAATAAACATTTAAACATTTAAAATAAATAAGTAAATAAACATTTCATTAGATTTAGAAAACTCCCCTACCAAAAACCTTTTTGGAAGTATTAAGCTAAGAGTTATTCTCAATTATATATAGTACTTTTTTTTTTTTTTGTCTCTATGGGGGGCATCCCACGAAGTGTGCAGCAAACAGCTTCCTCCTTGTAACCTGAGTGAAGAGGACCTGTTAAAGAACCCACACTTCAGCAAGCTGCTGCTAAGTCTCGCACAGCACGTGGACGAGAGTGGCTTAAGCCTCACCCTGGCGAAGGAGCGGGCTCAGGTAAGAACTCTGGGGGGAGGGATGAGAGGAGAAAGGAAAAAAATCGTCCAACAGAGAAAAGTTCCTACCTGGGATTCTTTTGGTTTTCTAGGCGTGGAAGGAAGTTCGACTGCATAAAACAACATGGTTGAGGTCTGAGATTTTACAGAGAGTCATTCAAGAGCTGCTTGTGGACTACTATGTGAAGACACAAGACCCAAATTTAACTTCCGAGGACAAAAAGGTGAAGCAGGAGAGACGCAGTAGAGGTTGGTTACCAGCTGCAGGAATGGCGAGGCCACCTATGGCTTTGCCTGATTGTATGATCTAGGGGAAACCGGAGCTTTGAGTAATGGTTATCAAAAAAGGAATGGACTGGGGGCACCTGGCTGGCTTAGTGGCTGGAGCATGCCATGCTTGATCTCAGGGTTGTGAGTTTGAACCCCATGTCGGGTATAGGGATTACTTAAAAATAAAATCTTTAAAAAAAAGAAAGAAAGAAAGAAATGGACCGTAGTTATGGGGGAAGAGGTGGGTGTGTTGTTAGGGCTATGAAAAGGAAGACTGACAGGAGAAAGCGCTGGCAGCTGAAGGGAATAACATGTTTGAGGACTTTGAAAATATGTGAAGAACTGGTATATGAGGATGGAGGAGGTGGAGTGGGAGAAGTTTTATAGTAACTCTTTTTTGTTTTTTTATTCTCTTTCAGTTTCACGAGACCCTTGAACAGCGGCTACTCGTGACTGAACTGACGGGATTGTTAGGGCCCAGCCGGGAGAGGGAAACGCCTCTCTTGCTGGGGCTGCAGAAAGCGGATCTTCTGGATCTCATGCCCTCCTCAGAGGTTGGGCGTGGGCAGATACTGGGACCAAAGAAGTGAAATGGCTTAATTTCTCCCATATACTGAAACGTTTTCTTATTAACACTTTATTGTTTTTTTTTTTAAATGATACACGTTCATTTCATGGGAGCCAAACTCAAATAAATAAGAAAAATGTTAGAGGAGAGTAAAAGCTGAAATACTACATCTAGAAATAAATACAGTTTATTATATACAGCTTGACATAAATAGTATTATAGCCTCCATGCTTGTATAGTGAATATAATCAGTTTTCACTTGAATGTATTTGGACTTTTTTTCGAGTCAGTAAATAAACATAAATAAGATGATAGCTCCTACAGCTCTCCAAACACAGTGCAGGCACGTAGTTTGTGCTCAGTGTTCTTAGTATATCGTCAGTTTAAATCACTGATAGGATTCCATTGTGTGGGGGCACCCGGCTGGCTCAGTTGGTAGAACACGTGACTCTTGATCTCCAGGTGGTGAGGTTGAGACCCATAATGGGGGGGTGGAGATTACATTAAAAATATAATCTTAAAAAAAAACAAAAGGATTCCATTGTATGAATATAGCACAGTTTGCTCAATCTCAGTGATTGATACAGTTGATTCTACATTTTTGCTGTTAGAAACCACACTGATAGGAACATGCTAGTTCACATGTGTGGTTGCCTTTGTATGGTTATTTCCCGGAGTATTGGTACTTGAAGTGGGATCCGTGGGTCAAGAGGACATACACTTAAACCTACTGGTGCATCTTCCCACTTCCTCACCTTTTCATCAACACGGGCTCTTAACCATCATTTTCTTCTTTGCAAATTTGATAGGCTAACAGTGAATCTCCTTGATGTTTCTTGAGGCATTTTCTCTGGTTATCATTGAGGTACTTATCACCCTGTACTCATTGGCTGGGTCTTCCTAGTACTAATGGTCTATTTGCCTCTCCCTTCCTGTTCCTGCGGATGTAGGATTTTGTGTGGATGAGAGCTCGGCTGCCGCTGGAAGTAGAGGAGCAGCTCAAGAAGAAATGTTTCACCCTGCTCTGCTACCATGACCCCAATTCAGGTGAGAGCCGGCACTCTGCTCCGTCCACAGCTGACCTTCCGGTCTCCTGGCCTGCTCTTCTGAGAATAACGTATTGAATTTTAGATTCGGGACAGAAGCTCGGAAGCACCGGAGAGGCTCATTTGTTTGTTTCCTTGCTGGTAGAATACAAGCAAGGAATTGTGTGAGAACCAAGTGGGAGTGTCCTCTTGCTACAGGGAAGGATGAATTCATTCTTAGGAGAATCGACATGGAATAGGGAGGAAAGTTCCGGCTTATAGGGGTTCCCTTTATCTTTATTTCTTTGACTTGAGAATTAAGGGCCAAATCTGGAATTAAAGGTAAGAGCGAGGGGCTCATGGCTGCCTCACTTACTTGGAAGAGCGTGTGACTCTTGAACTCTAGGTTGTGAGGCCGAGCCCTACATTGAGCGTAGAGATTACTTAAATAAATAACATTTAAAAATAAAACATAAAGGTAAGAGTGAAGAGAACTCAGTTATGAAAACTGGGCCATTTTAGCAGGAAGTCAGAAGAAAACTCAAAGAGAGAACTTGTAGAGCTAGATAAGGGATGAGGCACTGAAAAATGGCCCCAGAAGGGCAGTAGCAATTAGGGTTTTCCTGTCTACTCCCTCCGTCTCTTTGCCCAGATTCAGACAGTGAAACCTTGAAGGCTGCAAAGGTGTGGAAACTGGCAGAGATCCTGGTGGGTGAGAAGCAGCAATGCCAGGATGCCAAGAGCCAGCAGAAGGAGCAGATGGTGCTGCTGGAGAAGAAGAGTGCCACCTACTCCCAGGTTTTTTCTTTATGTTTATTTATTTTTGAGAGACAGAATATGAGCAGGGGAGGGGCAGAGAGAGAGGGACACAGGATCCAAAGCAGGCTCCAGGCTCTGAGCTGCCAGCACAGAGCCCAATGTGGGGCTTGAGATCATGAACTGTGAGATCATGACCTGAGCCAGAGTTGATGCTTAACTGACTTGAGCCACCCAGGCACCCTGGGGAAGCCAGGGATTTCTGATTTGCCTTCTTTTCTACTGACTTTGGTTTTGCCCTCTTTCTGCCTCTCGGGGGCCCAGGTGCTTCTCCGCTGCCTAGCCTTGCTGCAGAGGCTCCTTCAGGAACACCGGCTTAAGACTCAGTCTGAGCTGGACCGCATCAATGCCCAGTACCTAGAGATCAAGTGCAGTGCCATGATCCTTAAGCTGAGGTGAGCTTTGACCCCTGTGGGTCTAAGGAACTCTGTCTCACACACCACCCCCTCCAACCTTCACCCTCATCTGTCTTTCCTCTCCGCCATGCCTAGCACCTTGTGGGTATTAGCCTTTGGATTACCCATAAGCGTTCAGCATTCCTGAGTCTTATTTTTAAAGCCTTCTGAAATAGGTGCTTTCCTGTGAGATACATTGCTCAGGAATTCAGAGTGACCTTGCTTATCCTGTCCCTGCTTAGCACACACCTTGACCAGGGGTAGGTACTCTCTGTCCCCATTCCTAACTCTGCTGCTGTCAGGGATCCTCAGGCTGATATTTCTTTCTTCTCTTTGTCAGGATGGAGGAGCTAAAGATCTTGTCTGATACTTACACTGCTGAGAAAGTAGAAGTTCATCGTCTCATTAGGTAAGAACTCTCGAGGACATGGGGCAGTTACTCAGAGCTGATCCCATGCTCTCCACATCCATTCATTTTAACGTAGTCACTTTCTCGTGTACTTTCTTTCTTTCTTTCTTTCTTTTTTTAATTTATTAATTTATATTCAAGTTAGTTAACATACAGTGTAGTATTGGTTTCAGGAGTAGAATCCAGTGATTCATCACTTACATATAACACCCAATGCTCATTCCAATCAGTGCCCTCCCGAATGCTCATCACCTATTTAGCCCATCCCTCCACCCACCTCCCCTGCAGCAGCCCTCAGTTTGTTCTCTGTACTTAAGAGTCTCTTATGGATTGCCTGCTTCTCTGTTTTTCTCATTTTTCCTTCTCCTATGTTCATCTGTTATGTTTCTTAAATTCCACACATGAGTGAAATCATATGACATTTGTCTTTCTCTGATTTATTTTGCTTAACACAATACACTCTAGTTCCATTCATGTTGTTGCAAATGGCAAGATTTCATTCTTCTTGATTGCTGAGTAATATTACATATATATATACACCACATCTTTATCCATTCATCTGTCGATGGAAATTTGGGCTCTTTCCATACTTTGGCTATTGTCAATAGCGCTGCTGTAAACATTGGGGTGCACTTACCCGTTTGAATCAGCGTTTTTGTATCCTTTGGATAATCTTGTCTACTTTCTGAGGAGCCAGATCCTTATATTGTATCTTCTGTTCCCCGGATGTGTAGGGACCGTTTGGAGGGGGCCATCCACCTACAAGAGCAAGACATGGAGAAGTCCCGACAAGTCCTGAGCACCTATGAGGTCCTTGGGGAGGAGTTTGACAGGCTGGTAAAAGAGTACACTCAACTCAAGCAGGCCACTGAGAACAAGCGCTGGGCCCTCCGGGAGTTTAACAAGGCCTGTCGCTGAGCGCTGCCAGTGGGGGTCCGAAGGTGGACTTCTGCTTGGGTGCTGCCTGCCCCTCCTCCTGCCGAAAGGACCACCTTCACTCCGGGAGTGTGGGGACACTTGCTTGAAGCACTGCAGTGCTTTAGGCACCGTCATGGTTTTTCTTCCTTGTTTACAGTGACTGAGTCTCCTCTGGGAAATGTAACAGATTTATATAATTTTATGTGCAGCTATTTGTCAGTGTCAGCCCTGTAGGATATTTGATTACGTCCTGAATAAAGTGATGATGCTTCCTTTGGGCAAGGATGAAAGAAGAACATGAAAGGCTAGGTGGATAAGGTGGGGAACTGAGCAGATCCAGACAGACCGATGGATAATGCCTCATGCTGAGTGGGAGGCAGGAACACGGCCTGCCCAGCTGGAGCCTTAGAGCCTTCATTCTTGGAGAGCAGACGTGGATTGCATCTGGCCTTGCTTTTGAAGAACTGTAATGTCCAGAGGAGTGCTCACTGCTAGGGAGGCTGGGGAACTCTTCCATCACCACAGCTCTCAGTGGGGCAGACCCGATAAAGCAGCAGGGCATCCAGCTCTGCTACAGGAAGGGACACCAGCCACTCAGATTCCTGGTTCCCGTTGGTGTGGTTTGAGGGTTCCCTTTTCCTCTGCAAGCAGAGACTGGGAAGGATCACCCTGAGGAACCAAGTTTCTCAGTCCACTTAACTGTAGAATGAGGCAAAGCCCTGACTGGCATCAAAATCGGGGACTGATGTGCTTGCTTCGGCAGCACATATACAAAATTGGGGACCGAGAACAGAAGCAGAAGATCTCCACTCTTAGGTAGAAGAGCCTGCTCAGCTTCTCAAACTTCTTTCAAGGGAGGCTGTCTCGGGGCATTCTGCTACCATAAGTTACGATGGTCTTGGATTGCTTTATAGGAAAGACTAAGGTCTTTGACATAATTTTATTTATTTCTTTTTAAAAATTTATTTATTTTGAGAGAGAGCTTGAGTGGAGGAGGGGCAGAGAGAGGGAGAGGGAATCTACACTGTCCATGCAGAGTTGGCGCTGGAACCCACGAGCCCTGACACCATGACCTAAACCAAAATCAAGAGCTGGACGCTCAACTGACTGAGCCATTCAGTCACCCTGACACAATTTTAACTTTTTCTGTAAATGGTACTTTTACCATTTACCAGGTACTTATCCTGGCATTTATCTATTAGGAAATGCTGGCCCACACAAAATTAACAAATCACAAACCACTGGAAAAGTCAGAAATAGTCAATATTGCTTAGTTGTATAGTTTTTCTTTTCCCCAACATTTTCTGGGTAAAGTTTCAAACTTAACAGAAAAATTAAAAGAATAATACAATAAACACCAATATAGTCTCAACAACCTAGATTCCTCAATCACTAACCTTTTGCTTTTCTCTCTTTCCTCTCACTCCTCTCCCCTCTCTAAATAGATTGATAAAGATTTGGTTAAGTGGACTTCTTTTTTTCCTAGAACCATTTTATAGTAAGTTACAGATGTGATATTTCATTTCCTAAATAGTTAAGCAGGTAACTCCTAAGAATAGTGCATTCCTCTGTATAATAAAATTATTATACCTAAAAATAACTTTGTAATAGTTATTATCCAAGTCATATTAAGATTTCCCTGTTTTCCTGGTCTAGGGTCCAGTAAAGGCCCAGGCATTACATTTGTATGTTAGGTTTCTTTAATCTCTCTCTCTCTCTCTCTCTTTTTAATGTTTGTTTATTTTTGAGAGAGAGAGAATGCGAGCAGGGGAAGGATGGAGAGAGAGGGAGAAAGAATCCCAAGCAGGCTCCATGCTCAGCCGCAGAGCATGTGAGGCTCAAGCTGATGAACCAATTTAGCCACCCAGGCAGTCCTGTAATCTCTTTTAAAATAGACCATTTCCCCTATCTTTTTTTTTTTTTTTTGAATAGAAATTAGTGTTTTTAAAAATCCAGGCTTTGTAGAATGTCCCATTGTCATTATTTCCTGCGGTGGTTAACTTGCTCCTTTCCTGTTCTGTCCAGTATAGTAGCCACTAGCCACATATAGGTATTTACATTTAAATTTAGGAGCACCTGGGTGGCTCAGTTGGTTAAGTGTCCAACTTTGGCTCAGGTCCTGATCTCACAGTTTGTGGATTCGAGCCCTGCATCGGGCTCTGTGCTGACAGCTCAGAGCCTGGAGGCTGCTTCGGATTCTGTGTCTCCCTCTCTCTATGCCCCTCCCCTGCTCACGCTCTGTCTCTCTCTGTCTCAAAAATAAAAAAGTTAAAATTTTTTTTTAAATTTCAATTTTAATTAAGACAAAAAAATTGAGATTTCAGTTGTTTGGCATTACTGTATTGGATGGTGCAAATATACAACATTTATATCATTATAGAAAGTTCTAGGGACACCAGGGACTGATTCAGTCAGTGGAACAGTCAGTGGGACTCTTGATCTTGGGGTTGTGAGTTCAGGACCCATGTTGGGGGTAGAGATTACTTAAACATTTAAAAACATTTTTAATTTTTTATTTTTTTATTTTTATTTTTTTTTTTTTTTAAATCTTTTTTTAATGTTTTATTTATTTTTAGGAGAGAGAGAGAGACAGTGTGAGCAGGGGAGGGTCAGAGAGAGAGGGAGTCACAGACTGAAACAGGCTCCAGGCTCAGAGCAGGCAGTCAGCACAGAGCCCGACGCGGGGCTCGAACCCACGAACCGCGAGATCATGACCTAAGCGAAAGTCGGACGCTTAACCGACTAAGCCACCCAGGCGCCCCCATTTTTAATTTTTTAAATGCACGGCTCAGACTCACAAACTGTGAGCATGGCCAGAGCTGAAGTCAGACACCCAACCAACTGAGCCACCCTGGCACCTCAATAAATAAAAGTTTTAAAAAATATAAAGACGCTATTGGGGTGCCAGGGTGGCTCTGTCGGTTAAACGTTCGACTCTTGATTTCTGCCCGGGTCATGATCTCATGGTTGTAAAATCGAGCCCCATATTGGGCTCTGCACTGAGTGTGGAGCCTGCTTGGGATTCTCTTTCTCTTCTCTGGCCTTTTTCCCTTGTTCTCTCTCTCTTTCTCTCCCTCTCTCTCTCAAAATAAACAAACGTTAACAAAAAATACAGATGCTATTAAAAAAAAAATGGGACAGTGCTATAAGCCTACTGTAAACTGGAAGTAGGTCTACAGCCTTTTAGATTCAGGGTAAACACTTTTGCAAAGAATACTTAATAGATGACATTATGTACATCACATTATATCACCCTGGAGCCTTATCATGGTAGAGGGTATCACTATTTTGCTGGGTTGGGGGCGCCTGGGTGGCTCAGTGGGTTAAGCGTGCAACTTCAGCTCAGGTCATGATCTCACTGTTCACGGATTCGAGCCCTGCATTGGGCTCTGGGCTAACCACTCAGAGCCTGGAGCCTGCTTCAGCTTCTGTGTCTCCCTCTCTCTCTGCCCTTCCCCATTCACACGCAGTTTCTCTCTCTCTCTCAAAAATAAACATTAAAAAAACTTTTTTAAAAGATTTAAATTATGCTGAGTTGTACTGCTTGGTTAAGGTGGTAACTGCTGATCTCTCTAATATACAGAAGTACATTTTCCCTTTGTAGTTCGTAGGATCTGGAGATGACATCAAAGTCCCAAAGTAGTTTTTCCTGATATTTATTATGGCATGTAGCATCTCCTCACTTAGTTAGGTACTTGTCTTAAACCATACTAGGTTTTGGTATTCGAAATAATAAGGATTAAAAAAAAAGAAATAGACTCTGTCTCAGTGTCTACAACTTATAGACAATAGTAGACACATAAAAACAGTCTAAGAATATGGGGCGCCTGGGTGACTCAGTCCGTTGAGCATCTGACTACAGCTTAGGTCATGATCTCATGGCTAATGGGTTTGGGCTCCGCATCGGGCTCTGTGCTGGCAGCTCGGAGCCTGGAACCTGCTTCAGATTCTGTGTCTTCCTCTCTGCCCCTCCCCTGCTCATGGCCCCCTCCCTCAAAAATGAATAAATGTTAAAAAAATGAGTTTAAAAAAACAGTCTAAGAAGATAAAGTAACAGGAAGTGCAAATGAATATAGTTGAAAACCAAAAGAAGTGAATCAGGAATTATAAGGTAGAGCTTTAGTAGGGAAGACAGATTTGGTTCAGGATTTGTAGAGTTGAGTCTGGAATGGTATTTTGCAAAAAGTGACAAAGACAAACGAGAAGTGGCAGTAGGTGAAGGCACAGGGTGAGAAATGAGTAAATCATACACCCAGGAAAGCTTTCATCTTAAAGGACCAAAATTTGGAAAGAATATCCCATGGCTTCAATCAAGTCTCTGGAGAGCTGGGGTTTGAGAAGTGACTACCTGAGAAAGCAAAATGGCTCCCAAGGCAGTGGTTCCCAGCCCTGGCTCCCTAAATGACAGGGAGCTGGACAGCTAGCTGTTCCTTGTGTTTCCCAAAACCTAAATAAAACTGAACATTTGCTAGCAACAGTGCTGCCCAACTATATAAAAAATGTTGGCTTAAAAACAAAACAAATGTGCTTTGTAAAAAAATTCAAGCAGCAATACGTAATAGTAACAAGTAAAAGATTTAACACGCACACTCATGCAGCACACACGCATAGCCCATTGTACCAATCCACTACCTTAGAGTAACCAGACTGATTTGGTGAATATGATTCCAGAGCAGAGCTTTTTCTAAACATTTGCAAATGTATGTACAGAAATATTAGCTCATATTATTGGGAGTATGGCTGTATCATGATTTCACCCATTGCCTTCATGATAGATATTCAGATTGTTCCCAGTTTGCCCTATTACATAATGCTTAATTGAATATCATTACGTTTGTTTCTTGCTCAAGTGCCTTTAAAGCATTTTTGGTATGAAAATCAATATATTAATTCTAGTAATTTTATGAAAAAATAAACTAATTACTGAGCTTATGAATATGGTTTGGTAGAAAAAGTATCTCAAAACTGTTCCATGGAAGTGGGAGAAGGGACACAAAGGGTGTTTAGTGCTGCCCAAAGGGTCACTACAGCAGTTTGTCTTGGTCCCCTTCACAGTGCGTGGAGATGGCAGGTTCAAAGGATGTGCCGTTTTCGTGAGCCGTTGGCTACTGTGGAATAGGTGGGAAGGGGGTTGGAGGCGGGCCAGGAGAGGGGCTGGGTGACCGTGAGAGCTGAAGGTTAGCATCTTGGTCTTCAGTTGCCCTCGCTGCCCCTCATACTTTTCAGAAAAGATTTACATTTACTGCCTCTCCATTCTTTCTCAGGCATGTTTTTCTT